GCTTTTATGAAGAAGTGGGTTTTTAATGATTTTTTGAAGAAGTGGAGACTGGGTGAGCATCTAACGGAGGAGGGAAGCGAGTTCCACAGGAACAGTACAGCCCTCGAGAAATCTTGAAGGCAAGCATCAGAGGTGGGAGTACGAACAGAAGATAGACGTAAGACTTCAGCAGATTGTAAGGGCCTAGACGGGACATACTTGTGTATAAGGGAGGATAGATGGGTGGGAGCAGCATTATGTAGAGATTTGAAAGCAAGAACCAGAATTTTAAATTGAGCTCTATATTTTATAGGAAGCCAATGTAGGGACTGACAGAAGGGTGAGGCATGGGAGGTGGACAGGAAGATATATATTGGGCACAGTTCTCGGGACACAGTGTCAGCCGAATCCCATGCTTGGCAGAATGAGAGCGGTTGTGTGAAGGCTTAAGTGTCCCTATTTAGGTGAGTCAGTCCCCATTGTGGGCCCAAATCAGTCTTTCCCTCTCTACTCTCCTAATGTCTCTATTTTTTATTGTGGTCAGCCTAAGGCACACCTGTGCAATAATCATGCTGTCTAATCAGCATCTTGATATGCCACAGCTGTGAGGTGGATGGATTATCTCGGCAAAGGAGAAATGCTCACTAACACAGATTTAGACAGATTGTTAATAATATTTGAGAGAAATAGGCCTTTTGTGTACATAGAGAAAGTCTTAGATCTTTGAGTACAGCTCATGAAAAATGGGGGCAAAAACAAAAGTGTTGGGTTTATAATTTTGTTCAGTGTATTTTGTAGCACCAAGGTTTTGCAAGTCACTTGCCAATTCACTGCATATCACTGTTTAGTGAATAACTCCCTTTGGTAAAAAGCTGTGTGGAGCTCACACACAGCACATACAGACCGTCTCACAGAAAGAATATCTCTATCAGGCAAAATGTTCACTATTCTGATCTAAATGTATCATGTGTCTTAATGAAAATATGAAACCACAAAAATAATCGAATAATAATAATATAACAATTTGTTTTATACCGTGCATTTGCTGATTGTCGTGATAACAGCGAGGAGCTTACAATATTCATACCTTTGCCCCACGACTAGGTGCTGCTGCTCATGGTTACATTAACGGACTTGGTTTCTATAAAAGGTTACAGTCTCCATAGAAGGAGTTTGTCTCCATATAAGGAGCGGCTGCAGTAGCAGGAAGGTTTATTAGAGAATGACGGTTCTGACTCACACACTTTGTAAATATTGATTCCTAGTCACCCAGCGTTGTGCAGATAACAAAAACAAAAGGAAATCTATTATGTGCAAAGAAACAAAATGTAATTCCTTCATTGCCGATTGGGTCATTTTCAGAGCTATTCAAGGGAACCTGTCAATCACCTGCAGGAATTGTTTTATACGTTATTATTTACAAATTGCTACATTTTACTAATATTTTTAAAATACAATCTGTTTGGCAATGAAGGGGTTAGATGCAATTTTCTTCTGTTTTGTGTGCTCACTCTACCTTCCACGTTTAAATGTTCTGCAATGTTTTATTTATTTTTTGAATGTAAAGAAAATGGTTATTTATTAAATCATCCACATGCCTCCAGATCTTAAAGGACCACTATAGTGCCAGGAAAACATACTCGTTTTCCTGGCACTATAGTGCCCTGAGGGTGCCCCCACCTTCAGGGACCCCCTCCCGCCCGGCTCTGGAAGGGGGAAAGGGGTAAAAACTTACCTTTTTCCAGCGCTGGGCGGAGAGCTCTCCTCCTTCTCTCCTCCTCTTCTCCGCCCCGTCGGCTGAATGCGCACGCGCGGCAAGAGCTGCGCGCGCATTCAGCCGGTCACATAGGAAAGCATTCATAATGCTTTCCTATGGACGCTTGCGTGCTCTCACTGTGAAAATCACAGTGAGAAGCACGCAAGCGCCTCTAGTGGCTGTCAATAAGACAGCCACTAGAGGAAATAGGGGAAGGCTTAACCCATTCATAAACATAGCAGTTTCTCTGAAACTGCTATGTTTATGAAAAAATGGGTTAACCCTAGAAGGACCTGGCACCCAGACCACTTCATTAAGCTGAAGTGGTCTGGGTGCCTAGAGTGGTCCTTTAAGCACTTTGTAGGAAAAACATGGATCTAAGTGTGTTAGCATCTTACTGGAACGTTTAAGGCCTCCTATCGGCTACTACTCTATATTTGAGAAAATCCTCAAAAAACGACCATGGGTGCAGCTTAGTGAGAGAGAGGAAACAGACGCTTAGATTTTCTGTAAAAGCTATGGGTGCACAACGATTGGCTGAGAGATGTTGAATATCTTCATAAACTGATTAGAGCTCACTGCAGAAGCTGTAACCCTTTCGGTTAGTATTTGCAGCAAACATGATTAAAGTTTTTTTCATTTATTGCTATCTGTTTATTGTATTTATTTAAGATACACATGTAAGAAATGTAACTGATACCAGAAAGTTAACCAGAAGATTCATGCGCTCCCTGGGACTCCTGCCGGCTCAAGTCTCCAACTGGCTGGCAAACTCGTTTCTCCAGCAATCCTATGGACCCCAGCAACCACCGGGATGAGAAATGGGCCAAGGTAGGCCCCAGCCACAATGCTTCACAGCAAGGCGCCCAGGTCAAGGCAGGCCTAAAGAGTAGAGACCCACTATGCTCTATACCTGCTGGAACAGGGGGGATCCTCTCGTTGTTTTGGCTGTAACGCAATAAGTGAGTACTGTATATGGGGAAAATAGACGATCGTAATCCAGGCAGACCGTGCATATGGGGGAGGGCTTTGTAACTGTTTGGGCTGATGGAGTTTGGATACACTTTGGGGATACGGGACATAGCGTTGGGAACTCAGACGTCATTTAATTGCTGCACCAGGCGCACTAACAAACTCATCTCCCCAATACCGACTACACCACCACTCTCCAGGATGGTCAGAAGCCCACAGACTCACAGAAGCTAGGACTAATATGATTTTTTCTGGCCAAAAACTGTAGAACCCGACATTAACACTCAATGTGATGGGCACGGAAGGGGGAGAGGAGGGGCCTGGGATGGAGGTGTGGGGACAGGGCACCTTTCAAAAGATTGAATAAGATTGAATAAGATTAATAAATCTTATTAAGTGACAGATGATGCTGTTAGCCATTGACACGTGTAGCCATTCCATTGTATTGCATACTTATGTTATACTAAATACTCACTGATTATTATCATGCATGCTACCTAAGATTATTGTTATGTTATATGTCACAATAAATTAAATCTATTTTTATAACACATTGTGATCTTAATTGTATGGAATACTTTTCACTTATTTGATAAACGATCTCTAAGATCTAAGAGGATTGAAATAGTGGGCAATTCTCGACTGTTTAATATTATCATCCCATAAATATCCCCACACTCCCAAACCACTGGTCTAATTCGTGCCATTTTTGGATATGTTGTTCCCCTGAATGTATGGGTTATTAAAATTATTAAGATACTATGCATAGTTTTAAAGTAATAGAAAATGCATAAAAGTATATTTTTTAGCTTGGAGATAATTGAGATGATATGATGATTAACTCAATTATCTCCTAAGCAGAGGGGAGGAATGTACTGTAATCGATTGGTGTGCTTTTACTGTACAATTGTAACTGATTGGCTGTTGTATTCACATTGTCAGTGCCCCACAAGGTCCAGTGGGTGGTAACATTACTGTAAAAACCTGCATAAAAGCAGGTGCTGTGTGGTCATTAAATCAGTTCTACTTCACCCTTCAAAATGTAGCCTCGTCTCGTTATTGAAAGGGAACCTGTTCAGCATAGTCACTAGCTCTTGTAAGAGCTCTGCCTTACTCTCTACTTGGATCCAGCGGATGGGAAAGAGCAACTCCACTACAGCACAGCATCTTGCCGTCTCCAACGGCTGATACCTCTCTACAACCTCGGTAGCCGTTACATCAATTATCTAATTACAGAAACTTAACATATGAATAGCCCCACAAAAAACAAAAAAAAACGGTTAAGCACCCTCACAATGCATACATCGTGGGAAAGGTCTCTCTGGAGTGCCCATTATGTCTAAAAAGCACCCAGATCAGACATTGCCCAAATTATGTGAAATTTAAAAGTTCAGCTGGGCGCGATGGCTCCACAATCCGATTTAGAGTTCCAGGAGAGTTCAAGGTAGCCCTCGGTCGAGCGCATGGTACCTCAGCAGCCATCTAGCAGTCAAATTGTGATTCTGAGTCAGGAGGGAAGGGACACTGGGCTGGGAGGCACGGGCTGGAGGGTTCGGGAATAGTGATGTTAGTCTTTTGAGAGGAGGTGGGATTCCTACAGCCAGGCTGGGTGACCAGGTGGCCCGTCACATTTATATTATATACTGACATTATTGGAACTACTTTTCAGAATACAAAAAAGCTGTGTTTCTTGCAGGAGAAACATCTAATTCTAGAAACACTGATTGCTAATAATTAATGTATCTCAGGCAGTTGAATAATAGCAGACAGAGAAAATCAGCAATAACACAGAACATTTGATGAATAATTAAGGTTTATTTTGACTCCAAAATGGCTGTACATCATTGGAATTTAAAAGAAATCAGATTTTTACCTGAATTTACGCACTGTCTGTTAAATTGTCAGAAGGTATGCATCAGAGCTTTCAGTGATTGGAGATACCTATTTATTATTCATGAGGAATTATCATAAGAATGGATTTTGACAATGCCCAACTGTTCCCAAGGACTATTCCCCAGAATTATTATTGTTTATTCTTCAAAGAAAACAAACAGATTCCACAGTTGTTTCACAATAACAGACAAGCTGGTGGTTAACCAACATTACATGAAGTGTAACATGTACGCATGGGACAATAGATAACTCTACTGCGTTTATATGACATAGTAACAATCGTCGCTGTTCTTAGTCTTGTGTCACATTGTATCTGTTTTCCATTAACATGTACACAGTAGTAGTAAGTAGGAGTGGCTATGGTGTCTAGCTAAGGATATAACGAGATAGAGGATGTCATTTAGGATTCAGAACGAGGGACAGCATACATTTGGTAAGCACGAGGTCTTGAGCCGTTGGTGTTTGGCTCAGGAGTGATTTCAATGTCTTCTTTATCCACTGTTGGTTTAAGAATGAAATTTTGCAAGATGGTCGTGAAAAAGAGGAAAAGCTCCATGCGGGCCAAACCCTCCCCAACACACGCACGTTTACCTGAAGACAGAGAGAGCACACGATTGAGAAGAAAGACATGTTAGTCATTGCTGAAACTCTCTAAAATTCCATAAAACTGAATATTAATATTATCACCTGCGGAAAATGGCATGAAGGCATCATTCTTCTTAAAGCAGCCATTCTCGTCCAGAAAATGACCAGGGTCGAATTGTAGAGGGTTTTTAAAGTATTTTGGATCCTTTAGAACTGAAGTCAGAACTAGCAAAACCAAAGTGCCCTAAAATAATTCAAATACATTGTCAGTGGGTTTTTATTCTGCGCCAAAGCATCAAATTTAAAACCATATCTTTAAGGGCAGACATTCACTCATAGCATAGCACAATTTAACATGTTTATGTGTCAATCCCTCATCATGCTGACTGCCCTATTTCAATTGACTTGGTTTAAAGGTCATAGAAAGGAAACATATTTATGTCCTGCAGTGTATCAGTAGTGACAAACAATTAATGAGTTATTTACTGACATAGACATAAAGTGTTTTTATACATAGCTAAAAATACCAGCTATGAATAAAATGTTCACATGTATTTTTACAAAAACAATTTGATATTGAAGACTAAACCTTCTGAATATCGTATCCCTTGAAGGTTATATCTTTGGTGGTTGCATGGACAAGCCCAAGAGGAATAATGTCAGCAAATCGTTGAATTTCATGAATTACAGCATCAGTATACGGCATCTTACTCCTGTCTTCCACTGATGGGCATCGATCTAGACCTATTATATCATCAATCTCCCGGTAGATTTTCTCTGAATTGAAATACAAAAGGAAATAAGAGTATGCATTAAAGATTAAAGTGTTCTTACCTATACCCCCACTTAAACTTTGCAATATTTTACCAATTTAATTTATTTCCAATGTGGATTTTTCCACTGTGTATATCCTGATTATGAAGTTAACATTGTGTGGGCTGATGAGCACTCAGTTCCACAAACAGAGTGTTTTTATATATATATATATATATATACATATATATATATATATATATATATCACAGGCAGTGGTATTAATCGTAATGGTCAGTGGTGTATCCATGTTTTGTGCTGCTCCCCTCCCCCCCCCGTGCCACTCCCACCCAACCCTTTCCCCTCCACCCCGCCTTCTAAATACACACACACACATTCACTGACAGATACACATACACTAGCTAACAGAAACACACACTCGTTAACAGAAAAACACACACTCACTAGCAAACACACACACTCACTAATGGACACACACACACCCTCACAGGCAAACACACACACACACACAGTCAGACACACACACACACACTAACAGACACACTCACTAACAGACACACACTCACTCACTAACAGACACACTAACAGGCAAACACACTAACAGACACACACTAACAGACACACACACACTAACAGACACACTCACTCACATCAACATATTTTTTTTATTTAACCCCCTCCAATCTCCTTTCCTTTGGGAATGCTGGGGGGGGTTCTCTTTCTCCCTGGGGGTCCAGTGGCTGCTGGGCGGGTGGCGCTGGCGGGCAGGCGGCTGGCGAGGGAGCACTTCCTCTGAGCTGTCTGATGTCATATTCCGGCTCCCAGCCTCACTCTGCGGGCGGCGCGCTAGGGAGCTGAGCAGACAGCTCAGAGGAAGTGCTCTCTCGCCAGCCACCCGCCCACCCACCAGTGCCGCCCGCCCAGCAGCCCATCTGGAATGTCAGATAGGCGCAAGGCTAACAAGTCATTTGCCCTGGGCATTTGGGGCGGCTTTTTTTTGCCGCCCCCTAGAAAATGTCGCCCAAGGCAAATGCCTTGTTTGCCTCATGGCTAAAACGTCCCTGGTAATGGTACCTTGTATCTCTGGATACTTGAGAAGAATTAGGAATGCATATCGCAGAGTCACGCTTGAAGTTTCCGTCCCAGCAAAGAACAAATCTCTAATCGTTCCCAGTAAATTCTCCTCATGAAATTCTGTATTGTGATTATTTTTTTCCTGGGACATAATTCAAACTTTTTGTTAAACATCTACTTGCTTCATTATTCCTAGATTTGCACAATTCATGCATTTTATGATATTACCTCCTCCATCCTTATCAGGAAGCTGTCTATGAAGTCACGTGGGCAGTTTGTGTCCAGTGTCTCTCGATGAGATTGCACCATGCCCTTCACAAACTGTCGTAGTTTGTCAAAATTGGTAAAGAGTCCCTGGTGTGGACCAGGGATGTGTCTGAGCACATTTGGGAATATTTGAAGGATCTGTAACAGAATTGCTTATTTTGTAAGAAGAAAATGAAGAAGAAAAAAAAATGAGCTTGCAGTGGCTGAATGGAATATGTACTATGCTTGGAAGTGCTATTTAAAGCTTTATTACATTGTTTTGTTTTGTTTTTTTTACATCCTTTTAGTTTTGCATTTGTTGAAGAATATATTGGGAGGTTGTGCAATTAGCTCAATAAAACCCTTTTTATTGTTTATTTTGTTTTTTTTTAAGGTATATGCTGTTAGTTCATCTCGGTCCCCAAAAATATCGTTGAAAGGCACTGATTGTTATCTGTTTTACTTTTTGATTAAACATTTGCATATCACTAACAAGAAAGCAACAACAATTTCTCCAATGTCCCCAATGTGACAGATATCACCTGTCCAATCTTCGAATTCATCAATCTGAAGATTTCTCTAATATTTGATAGAAGGGTTTTGAAATTCTCATCTTCGTAGTCAAATCTCTCTCCAAAGACCACAGAGCAGATGACATTGGAAACAGCTTGTCCCAGCAGATGGACTGGGTCAAACGGAGTATCTATTATGAGAATGATGGAATTAATACCGGTACCATTTACTCTTTCACCCTTATACATTTTTACCTCCAAGCTACACTGTGCCTACATCGAGAGCTCTCTCTAGGACCTGTATTTCCACTTGGTCCAAAGCAGTTGTTTAGTGGAGATACCTTTTTAATATTTTTCCTGGCAGTCTGTTTTTTAGGACTATCGAGCTATAGCTATATTTAAAGCTGCTTTCTAATGCTAAGCACTTGTTTCCCTCGCTCTTCCCAGGGTAGAACAGTGGGTTTTGGGGACTGTAAACACTATATATATATATATATGTGTTTTCAAGTGCGCCTTTTAGCCAGTAGTTTTTAGCCTGACCCTTGTAACCATTTAGATCTAAGTGTCTGTTTTTTTTTTTGTTAATGGACTTGTTATCGATTTATCAAAGTGCCCCAGATTTTTGGTACAATGTGTGAAATCTGTTGGCTTTTCTTTTTCATCTGTTGCTTTTTTGAGGGCTTAAAAGATTTATAAAACTTTCCAACATTTTTATAATACAGAAATGTTCAGTTTCACTTTTAATTTTATAACTGCTCTGAATATGCTAGCCTTCTGAAATAGAAATTTCTGAGAAAACTTGCAGAATTTATTATATTGAGAACCATTACTTTAATAAATAATAATATGAGCATTTATATAGCATATTTCACAGAAAAGAAGCTTACACTCTATCAGGAGTTGAGGTAGGTGCCCAAGGACACTTTCTAATGAGGTGTTCCAGAGGTTTTTGGTCTTTATGGCAGCACAACTACATTTAAAGGCATGTTCTGGGTGTTCCACAAATTCTCTCTTTTAATGTATAGTTGGAATACAGACCAGATTCATTTTGAACTAAGCAGCCCACCCATCTACTTTAGGTACCCATTTGAGGGTGACCGTAGGAAAGCATAAGATGAATAGAGTCCTTGGAAACAATTCTAGCAGTATGCATTGCAGTTCACATGTATATTTCCCATGTTAAAATTAGTGTATTAGCCACCGATATTGGGGTACTGTGATGTATTCGTGAGATTAGCCATATGGTAGAACTGAATTCTCATTTGCCAAGATAGTTGATTTTAAGTAACCTTGTAAAATTTGAAACTGTATTTATTTATGTGTGTACACTGTTCCTTAATCTGTATTGTTATATATTTTTGGTCTCTTTGCACCAATACTGAGAAATGCACGTTATGGGTGTGCTCAAAATTCTCCTTTTTTTCAAATTACAGTTTCCATGTTTGTCTTCAGTGATGTTACCTCTCCTCTAACCAGGTGATATATGAGGCACGCTATAATATGAAAATAATGTCAGAATGTCACTTTACAGAATACTTTGGTAAATTGTGGCGAAAGTGACCTCGCCACTGGCTTTTGGAGTGGCCTGTTTGCCAGCCTCCTACCCTGTGACTATGACCCGTGTTCAAACACCAATTGTGCCTCTTGGTCTTATAACAGGCTCTGTTCGTGCAATTGGGACTATATGGATTGTTTACCGAACAGCTGCATGAACTGGAGACCGTCCTGGAGCTTATTAAGCTTAATTGATACATGGTTGCAATTCCCACCTCTGTGGTCTAAGTGTTCGCCTGGGTGGCCGCAATTCCTACAGACGACCATGAGGTGGCGGCCATCTTGTTCACATGGACCAAAACCGCGAATAGACTTCAGGGGGACTAAGCCACGGATGCCATGGAACTATTTTCGGCACAAAAACCTTGTGTTTCCCGATCGGTTCTCCAGCGACACTTAGCCGCGATTCCATGGAACTGTTTTGGGCATGGGACCATGCCTGCACCTGGGCAAAAATATGACTTCCATAAACTTTCTGAATCTGGGGGATTTTTGGATATGTTGGTCACCCAGATCAGGGGATGTAACATTGATGGGGATATGTTGTGTTTTGGGGTACTTATGGTACTTTATAAAAAAATGTGTGTTTTTCTGCCTGGAGATAATTGTGTTACATACTGTACTTTACTCAATTATCTCCCATGCAGACTGGAGGGATTGTGTACTGTGTGTGGGAGTGTTGTACATTTAATTACTGTTCTAATTGGTTTGTAAGCTTTGTGTCCCTGTCGCCCACAAGATCAATGTGGGTATATACCTTGTTTGGGGACGTGCATAAAAGGCCAGCTGTGGCTTCCACTTAACAGACTTACTTCACCCTCAATCTAGAGTCGTGTCTCTTATTGGGGGGAACTGCTATATAACTACAATGGATTGCTATAATCACTATACTCCATTGGATTCCCTGAGCTCTTGTAAAAGCTATTCCTACTTGGCTCTCTGGAGGAAGAGAGGTTCACCCGTCGGTGGAGGTACCCAACCGGGTTACAGGAAGCTCCGTTACATACATTTTCTACATTCTCCTCCTCTCTGTAACGGACAGAGCTTATAACAATTAATGGTGTTGGTGTTCAGTTACAGGATAAGTAGATGTGTACTCCTACATTTAAGTTAATGCAACATGTAGATACCACATTTACATCTAAAGAGTCTCTGCAACACACAAAACATGTGGCTGGTCAGCTTCAATTAAATATACACAATTAATGTAACTATCATGTTAGCAAATACATCTATTCAAACTATGTGATTTTTGCTGCTTCTCCAAGACGGGTTCTGCAAGAGAAGCAAGAGGCTGCAAGAACATCAATCCACTTACAGTACATCATTCCACAATGCCAGTCTGTGTTTGGAATATAGTGAAGCATTCTGATTTATATAGTAGAATTCAATAAAAAAAAAAAAACCTGCTAGATATTATTAAATTTTTATTATTTGTTTAATGTTGTCACCAACCTTTGCACTTTCTAAATTCTTCTGAAAGCAGTTGAGCCTCCTCTTGAATTCTCTCCTCAATGCTCCTCTTCCCCATTCCGAAATTCCTCAAAGTCATGAGAGAGAATCGACGCATTGACTTCCATGTCTCTCCATTTGTCATTATAATTCCTGCAATCATAATTAAAGACATCTTCAGTTAAGTTTAAAAACATCTAAATTGAGATAGAAAAATTTGTTTGTTGAGCCAAGAAGAAATGTGACCGCCATTTTGGATTCACTATGGACTTTTTTCATAATTTGAAGCAAAATTATAAATCACTTCAAGCTGGGATTTTCTCCTACTTTTGGATCACGAACAGTAATACAGAATTGTAAAAGGCAGAACTTGATGGACTGAAGTCTTCTTTTCAGCCTATATAACTATGTAAGTACATAACACTTCCATTAGAGATGTGTATATTCCTATAGATGGTAAATATATGCTACAAGGTACCTCCCTCTACACTATTAGCATACCATGAGTGCCATTGAGTCTGTAATAGCTGGAATATCTAATAATAATAATAATAATAATCTATTGATAATGGTATGGGTAAATTGCCTCCGTCGCACATCCTTCCACGGTAATTAAGAAGTACTATTATATATTTTTATATCACCTTGATGTTGTTTTTTTTTATTTTTTTTCTGCCAAACATGATTTACAGGTAAATGCTAATTTCTTACCACTTTCCTTAAACAGAATATTAATCACGTCTATATTCCCCCTGTCGCTTAATGCATCGCCGTTCTCTTCCAGAGCTTCTTTTACAGTCTCGTATCCGATGATTATTACGACAGGCTGACCAATCATATGGAGTGTATACACAGGTCCGTACTTCTCACTCAACTGTGAAAAAAAAAGCAGATTTGGGTCTGAGGTTCTGAAAGCAAAAGTAAAACAAATTGTCTTTGTATAAAACCAGAAGTAGCACATTCCTAAATTAATTCCAAATATATAGATGTGAGGTGATATATTTCCAGTTTCCAAACCCCCATATACAGTTGTGCTCAAAAGTTTGCATACCCTTGGAGAATTGGTAATACATGCACCATTTTTAAAGAAAACATGAATGAGCAGGCAAAACAATTTTCTTTTATTTCTTATGGGATTCATATTCATATGTAAGTTATAACAGAATGGCACAATAAAAAAAATTAAAAAACATGGCAACAAAGAAAAAAATAAAATAACCCCTGTTCAAAAGTTGCATACCCCTATTTCTTAATACTGTGTATTGCCCCTTTTAGCATCAATGACAGCATGCGTTTTTTTCTAATAGTTGTCTATGATGCCCCTAATTCTTGCAAGTGTTATAGCTGCCCATTAGTCTTGGCAAAATGCCTCCAGTTCCTGCAAAGTCATTGGTCGTCTTGTATGAACCGCACATTTGAGCTCTCCCCACAGTGGTTCGATGATATTAAGGTCAGGAGACTGTGATGGCCACTCCAGAACCTTCACCCTTTTCTGCTGTTACCACTGGAGGGTCAACTTGGCCTTGTGCTAAGGGTCATTGGAAAGTCCAAGAGCGTCCCATGTGCAGCCTTCATGCAGAAGAATGCAAATTGTCTGCCAGTATTTTCTGATAACATACTACATTCATATTGCCATTTAATTTTCACAAGATTCCCCATGCCTTTAGAGCTCACACCCCCACCCCAAACATCAGTGAGCCACCACTATTCTTCAAGGTGTTGATGGGCATATTGTAGCCCGGCTTGTTTGTGGCATTGGTGCAGTAAAAGCTTCTTTCTGGCAACTTGACCATGCAGCTCATATTTGTATCATCGTATTGTGCTCCTTGAAACAATCACACCTTCTTTTTCCAGAGCAGCCTGTATGTCTCATGAGGTTACTTGTGGGTTTTTCTTTGTATCCCGAACAATTCTTCTGGCAATTGTGGCTGAACTCTTTCTTGGTCTACCTGACCTTGGCTTGGTTTCAAGAGATCTCAGAATTTTCCACTTCTCAATAAGTGATTGAACAGTACTGACTGGCATTTTCAAAGCTTTGGATGTCTTTTAATATCATTTTTCATCTTTACAAAGTTCTATTTCCTTGTTATGCAGGTCTTTTGACAGTTCTTTTCTGCTCCCTATGGCTCAGTATCTAGCCTGCTCAGTGCATCCATGTGAGAGCTAACAGAAACTAATTGCAATTTAAAAAGCGACAGGTGTGGGAAATTACCATTTAATTGTCATTTTATCCTGGGTGTGTTACCTTGTGTGTCTGTAACAAGGCCAAACTTTCAAGGGTATTTAAACTTTTGATCAGGGCCCTTTGGGTGATTTCTGTTATTATGATTTTAAAAAGAACCAAACAACTATGTGATAGTAAATGGCTTCATGTGATCACTATCCTTCAATAAAATCATTTTTTGCATGATCAGTCATATTTTGAATATGCCACAATTTCAACATTTCTGCCAGAACTATAGACTCGTGAAACAAGCGACTTGCGCACAGACAAGCACGTTTGCTGGATTTGTGCTTCAGGGTTCCATGCGTGACACTAAAAACAAATTATTGATGGGAAAAAAGTGATTGATAGTTAAGGGGCAGTAACTGAATTAATGATTTTATTCACGGATCAAGTGAAAAGTGACCAATAAAAGGAAAACATTGGTAGAGGTAAAAAATGTTTTTATTTTTAACCCCTTCAGGACCGGACTGTTTTGGCCATGTTGTACGTTAAGGACCTAAGTTGTTTTAACACTTTTGTGGTGCTTGTGTTTAGCTGTAATTTTCCTCTCCCTCATTTACTGTTTCCGTACAAATTATATATTGCTTTCTTTACATACCATTATTTGTATCATGTTATATAATTTACTTTAAAAAAATAATGAAATATGGTGACAAAATGGATAAAAAAAGATTTTTTTGACTTTTACTTGAAAAATCTTTTACTTATCTACAAAACCTAATGAAAAAAAACTGCTAAATAGAATCAAAATTTTAGATTTAGATTTTGTCCTGAGTTTAAAAACACCAGTGTTTACATGCTGTTTTGCAAGATATATGACTGTAAGTACAAGTAGATGATTGATGTTCCAAAATATATATTTTAAAAATGTATCAATAGTTACATGGTTACATAGTTACATAACTGAAAAGAGACTTGCGTCCATCAAGTTCAGCCTTCCTCACATATTTTTTTGCTTTTGATCCAAAAGAAGGCAAAAAAAAACCTAGTCTGAAGCGCTTCCAATTTTGCAACAAACTAGGTAAACATTCCTTCTTGACCCCATAATAGCAGTCAGATGTCTCCTTGGATCAAGCAACTATTACCCTACTAATTAGAAATGATATCCCTATATGTTATGTTTTTGCAAGTATTTATCCAATTGCTGTTTAACCATTTGCATGGACTCTGATAAAACCACCTCTTCAGGCAGAGAATTCCATATCCTTATTGCTCTTACTGTAAAAACCTTTTCTTTGCCTTAGATGAAATCTCCTTTCTTCCAGCCTAAATGTGTGACCTCGTGTCCTATGTATAGCCCTGTTTATGAATAGATTTCCAGATAAAGGTTTGTACTGGCCCCGAATATATTTGTATAAAGTTATCATATCCCCTCTCAGGCGCCGTTTTTCCAAACTAAACAGATTTAATTTTTTTAACCTTTCTTCGTAACTAAAATGCTCCATTCCTTTTATCAATTTTGTACCTTGTCTCTGCATTTTTACTAGTGCCATGATATCTTTCTTTTGAACAGGTGCCCAAATTGCCCAGCATATTCAAGGTGTGGTCTTACCAGCGATTTATAAAGAGGCAAAATTATATTTTCATGCCAAGAATGTATGCCCCTATTTATACATGACAAAACCTTACTGGCCTTAGCAACTGCAGATTGATATTGCATATTGCTGCCTAATTTGTTGTCTATAACAATTCCAAAATCCTTCTCGTTTGTGGTTATCCCTAGTTCACTACCATTTAGGGTGTAAATTGCTTGTGCATTCTTAACCCCTAAGTGCATAACTTTGCATTTCTCTGCGTTGAATTTCATCTGCCATTTTAGTGCCCAGTCCCCCAATCTATCCAAATCCCTCTGCAGCAAAGCAATATCCTGCTCACATTTTATTACTTTACAAAGTTTTGTGTCATCTGCAAACACTGATACATGGCTTTCAATGCCTATTTCAAGATCATTTATAAATATTTTAAATAGAAGCAGTCCCAAAACAGCCTGAAAATTTACAATTGATGACAACTCGTTGTACTCTATCCTTACGCCAATGTTCTACCCAACAACAAGAATATTCATCTAGACCAATTTCTTTTAGTTTGAAGACTACCTATTGTGAGGAACCGTATCAAATGTCTTGGCAAAATCCAAGTAGCTCACATCCACTGCAACACCCTGATCTACACTTCTACTTACTTCTTCATAGAATGCAATTTGGTTAGTTTGACATGACCTATGTTTCACAAAAACATGCTGATTATTGCTAATAACAAAGTTCTTCCCAATGAATTCCTGAATATTATCCATTAATAGCCGTTCAAATATTTTCCCAGTCACAGAAGTTAAGCTCACAGGTCTATAATTTCCAGGCAAGGATTTTGAACCCTTTTTAAATATAGGGAAAACATCTGCCTTCCTCCAATCCTCCGGTACAATACCTGTGACAAAAAAATCTTGAAAAATTAAATACAGAGGTTCACTTATTTCCCCACTTAGCTCATTAAGTACTCGTGGGTGAATACCATCAGGCCCCAGAGCTTTATTTACATTAATTTTCTTTAACAGCTTTAGCACCTTGTCTCGAGTTATCCAATCACAAGTTATCTGCAAGTTTTTTGCAGCAAACATTTGCATATCTCTTGCCATAGGATCCTCATTAATATATACTGAAGAAAAATTATAATTTTTTCCTGGTCTTTATTAGCTAACAAACCCATCTCTGTTTCCATGTATTTTAACTCTGGTCCCTGAGGAAGTTTCCTAAAGGGAACGAAATGCGTAGGACCGTTTTTTAATATTATTATATTTTATGCCAATAAATTGATCCTTTTTCTACATCCAACCAATTGGAGTGTGTGGATTTTCTGATTTCCAGATTGGCGAGATTACCAACAACAGGACACACCCCCATGACCATAGGGGAGGCACACTGAAGGCTTTACTTACACCATCAATCTGAGTGTAACCTTCAAGCATTGAGCAATTAATAAAGCTATAACAATATCACACTATGTAGGTATTTTATGTTTATGTTTTAGTGATACAGGCTGGATCCCTATATTATTTGTATTCTATAATATATTATATACAGTTACCAATTTGGTAGGTAACTTGAGGGAAGCAAGTATCCAAAAGTTAAGTTAATTTTATTTTTCCACGGGTATTTAGGTGGAAGTTGTATATAGTTATTTCAAAATTCTGCCCCATCTCTGTTTCCAGTGTACCTGCAATTAAATTTTTTGTTTTTTTAGAATTGATGTACTTTAAAAAAAATTGGGGTTGGTTTTGCATTCTTTGGCTATCAATTTCTCATTTTTTTAGTTTAGCCACTTTAATTGCCTTCTTGCAAGCATTATTGGCTTCCTTATATCTTATATAGGATGCCTCTGATTTGTCCGATTTAAATGCTTTAAATGCCCTTTTCTTATTTTTAATCTCTTGTTTTACTTCTCTACTAAACCACATTTGTTTCAATTTGTTTCTTTTATATTTATTACCCAATGGTACTTACTGAGAAATGTACCTTTCTAATATTTGTTTGAATAGTTTCCATTTATCCTCAGTGTTTTTATCACTAAGGAGTTTATGCCAGTCGATATGTTGTAGAGCTGCTCTTATCTTATTGAAATTGGCTTTTTTTAAATTATACATTTTAGTATACCCCATGTGCTTTTGATTTTTTGAGTTTATTTCGAAAGTTACCATATTGTGATCACTATTTCCCAAATGCTCCGCTACTTGAATGTTGGTATAAAAAAAATCAACATTGTTTGTTATAACAAGATCCAGACAAGCATCCTTTTTAGTTGGTGCTTTTACCAGTTGTGACATAAAGGTGTCATTTAACACATTCAAAAACCTGATTCTCCTTGCTGAAGTACTAGTCCCTCTATCCCAATTTATGTCCAGGCAATTAAAATTTCCAATAATTAACGTGTTACCACGATTTGCAACTTTCCCAATTTGCTCTAACAGCTATTCTTTCTCATTAATATTTATATTAGGTGGTTTATAACATATCCCAACCAATAATTGATTTCCCTTTGATTGCCCCAAGCAGATATCTACCCATAAAGCTTCCACATTTTCCTTGTCACACTCCACATGCCTAAGATTTGACTCCCCATCTCCACCCCGATTGTTCTGAGCTAAAGCCAATCTCCTTTCTATCCTATCTCCATTTTCTAGATTGCTTTGACCCTCCCCCCTACTACTAGTTTAAAATCTCCTCCAACCTTCTAGCCATCCTATCCCCCAGCACAGCAGATCCTTTTCCGTTTAGGTGCAATCCATCACGGCTATACAGGTTGTACCCAAGCGCAAAATCGTCCCAGTGCTCTAAAAACCCAAAACCCTCTTTCCTGCACCAAGACTTTAGCCACGCATTGACCTCTCTAATCTGCCGCTGCCTTTCTGCTATAGCGTGTGGCACAGGTAATATATCTGAAAAAATTACCTTGGAGGTTCTTTTCTTTAGCTTACTTCCTAGTTCCCTGAACTCATTCTTTAGGACCTTCCATTTTCCTCTGGACCATGACAGCTGGGTCAACCCCAGCCCCTCCCAATAATCCCTCCACTCTGTTGGCAACATGCCGGACCTTAGCACCCGGGAGACAGCAAACTGTCCGGTTGAGTCAATCAGAGTGGCAGCTTACCCTATCTACTCTCTTAATAACAGAGTCCCCTACCACCACAACCTGTCTAGACTTCCTTACCCTTTCACCCAACCCGTATTAGAGGGGCTGTTCCCATGGCTGTTAGAAGGAACAGCTTCCTGCAGTACAGCTACTCCTGAGCTGATGCTCCCAACACTCAAACAGGCAAATCTGTTAGGCTGCATGAGATCAGGACTAGCTAAACCTTTCCTCTTCCCTCCCCCTCTGCTTCCTCGCCCCCCTGTTACTCAGCTATGTGCCTGCTTTCCAACTGTCTCACCTCCTCCCACTCCACTACCTGCATCCACTAAACTCTGCTCAGTGAGCAGCAGACTCCTCTCAAGATTGTCAATCTCCCTCAGTGTTACAATTTGCCTCTCCAGATCTCTAATCTGAGCTTCCAGAAATGCCACTCGCTCACACCCACCACAGAGATATGGACCCTGAACAGAATCATCCGGGCATGCATACATGCAGCATGATGTGCACTGAGTTAAACTCACAATCTTATTAGCACTCATCCCCAGTTACAAAAAACACAAGTGAGCAAAAACAATATTTACCCTCTTGGTTTAAACTCACTTATAGTTGAAACTCCTGTTGTTTTAAATCCTACTTAAAAGAGACTTTAGCCTACTTTCAAGCAAACTCCAGTGAGCAAGAGTCAGTAGTGGGTTTATATTGGCAATACAAATCCCACACAGGTGGAAATTAAGGGGCACTCCCCCTAATTAGCTCAGCAGCCGCAGCACCCACAAGGAGGGGAATAGAAACACCAAGAGAGGGAAAAAAAGAATGAAAACGTTTTAAATAAAACCAGCAAGGAGAAAATATGGGGGGGGGGAGGGGACAAAGTTTAAATAAACCCAGCAAATAGAGAGAGAGAGAGAGAGAGAGAGAGAGAGAGAGAGAGAGAGAGAGAGAGAGAGAGAGAGAGAGAGAGAGATAAGAAAAGGGGAAAAGTTACAAGAAATTTGAAAAAAACAGCAAAGAAATAAAAAAATATATATAAGAAAAGGGAAAAAGTTTACAATAAAACAGCAAAGAGAAATATATATATAAAAAAAGGGGACAAGTTATAAATAAAATCAAAGATGAAAAATATCTATAAAATAGATGGAAAAAAGTTTTAATTTAAAAAAAAAAAAGTAAACTGCTTTTTTCACTTGGTATTAACTAATACCAACCACAGTCCACAAGTTCTCCAACAAACTCCTGTTATTTTAACTCCTACTTCAAAGACTACTTTAAATAGCCTACTTTCAAGCAAACTCCATTGTAACACTGTTATCTGTCATAAATCTCTGAATCACACCTCACATGTACAGATTTTTTTTAAAGTAGACAACCCAGAGTATTCAATATGAGATATGTCCAGTCATTTTTAGTAGCCACTTAGTCACAAACAGTGGCCACAGTTAGCATTTATATTTGTTTGTGTGTTAAAATGAAAAAAAACTATTATGAACGCTAATTTTGGCCAGTGTTTGTGACTAAGTGGCTACTAAAAAGACTAAACATACCCCATTTGCAATACCTTCTTTTACAAATGCCATCATCATTCCTGAACCATACGCTCTCAAAAGCAACATAACTAACCTGGCCATTTTCAATGTGAAAAAAAATGTGACCCTTCTATTTAACCCTGTAACATTTAAAAACGCTATAAAATCTGCACATGGGGGGTACTGTTTTACTCTGGAGACTTTGCTGAACACAAATATTTGTGTTTCAAACAGTAAAACATATCACAACAATTATATCATCAGTGAAAGTGCTGTTTGTTTGTGAAAATGCAAAAAAAGTTACTTTCATTGACAATGTCATCACTGTGATATGTTTTACTGTTTTGAAACACTAATATTTGAGTTCAGCGAAGTCTCCAGAGAAAAACAGTACCCCCCATGTACAGGTTTTAGGGTGTCATGGATAGTTACAGGGTTAAATATAGTGCTAGCAAATTAAATTCTCTGGACTTTCGGCCTGGGTTGTCATGCGGGTCCCTCAAATTGCAATCAATAAAATTACTTAATTATGTAAAAATATTACATAAATATGCACGTAGAATTTAAATATAAATACATATTTATATATTTGAAGTCTACGTGTATATTTATGAAATTATTTATGTAATTTTGTATATGGATATATATATATATTTCACATTACTTTTTTATTTATATATACCTAGTTATATATATTAAATTTCATTCTAAGTGTATTTTGATATATATATAGTGGAAAATTGTTCCATACTTACCGTTTTCTTTTCCTGATAATTATTCATGGCAGCATTTACTCATGGGTTAGCTCCTCCCCTCACGGCAGAAAGGACAGGAAATAGAACTCTGAGGTTGGTATAAATAGATCCTCCCCCTTCCCATCAGGCAGTCTTAGTAACTAGCTTCACAACTCCTATAGTATATGGGTGGGAGCGTAATGCTGCCATGAATAATTATCAGGAAAAGAAAATTACGGTAAGTATGAAACAATTTTCCTTTTTCCTGACCATTATTCATGGCAACATTTACTCATGGGGAATACCCAAGCAGTATGTATCGAGGGAGGGACAGAGTTCAAAAACAGCTAATAGCTATAAAACCATTATTGAGCTGTATAAATCTTAGAAGACTTTACAAAGCCAAACAAGAATCAAGAGGAAATTGTCATAAAATCTGCTCAGACATGATAATTTTCCCTAGAGGCTGCAAGGTCAGCAACCTCCTGGCATTCAATATCTGAAATATCCTGAATTAATATAGAGAGTCAGATAGGAATTAGAGCCATGATAGCATAAGCTAGAGAAGGATAATGTCATTCTGATATAAAATGTAAAACCAAATTGATATCATCAAATCAGAACCTTGACAAAGGCATACCTTCCAGAGATCATACTGGAACAAGCAGATAATGTTGGATGAGAACGGACACACCATACTATTAAACACAGGGAGAATTACACTGAGAACCCTACTACTTACTGGATGTATTTATTAAAGACGATTCACACCGCTTCCTCTTGCCTAGTGAACTACTTACCTGTAGATACAGGAAACAAATCAATATCTGCCTGTCAGAAAGAGGCACAGCCTAGTAGAGAAATAAGAGTCTGTTATTAAAACATTGCAACAATGACCCGATGTTGCAAAATTAAGATTCACAAAAATACCTCACACAGTGGATGAATTGATCAGTCACAGCAATGATCAGTCACAGGAGAGGAATAAACTAATAACATTACTAGGCAAAGGCAAGAAGAATCGTACACAGATTAGTTGAGGAACAAAATTAATATCGGTATGAACCATAGAATTTGTGGCAACTACTAAATTATAAGGAGGCCAACCACGCCAGTACCTACATTTGTAAATAGTACAGATTATGCCAAACAGTATGATCACATTTATTAGAGACTGTTGTGCAACATAAGTAAGAGATATATAATAGGCAAGATACTGATGGGAAGGTGGTAACCAGAGGCACATGATCCATTGTGGCAACCGACACATAATAAGCAGGATAGTAGAAGATATTCAGTTATCCTTATGAGAACAACAACCACATACTTACTCTTACCTTATCTTCAGATAGTGAAGAAGTACTATGGCAGAGTCTATGGTGATAATAAGCAGCTTGTTATATCTGCAAGATATCAACACCAATCCAAACATATAATCCACAAGTATTAAATCAACGCAATGTTAGGAGTGACCATAACTTATACAGATCTAGGTACAGAGACCCTGTAAAACATATCAGTCAAATGTTTGTCATCAACAAGCTGCATTACATTATATTATGCAGGATGAATCAACCATTTAAAGCCACACATTGGTTGCAAATTCCAGATATAAGGACACCTAGAAGAATCCCCATGAATATCAGAAGAGGTCCGTAATGGAACTACCTGTTTAGGGATTTCCTCTATTGTTCAGGTAGCAGGTGAATGTTACCTGAAATAGTAAACCTGGTAGAATGGTCTGGGGACTGGAAAGACCTTAAAATACTTGCAATACACAGCATCAAAGTTACCTGGAGCATATGAGCCTAAAAGAATACCTTTATTGCAGAAAGGAAATTATAATGTTCCCCTTCACAACAGGGGAATCGGTCAGAAGTTTCTGATCATTAACCCCTTAAGAACCAAAAGCATGCCACCCCTGACATATACTAAAGGGATTGCCAAACTTTAAGGTCCCCAAAGGATTAAAGAGAATACTGAATATAAAATGTATGCTTTAAGGAAATGAATTCAGATTTAAAGAATAAAAGGTTATGAGCAGGTGAAAGAAAAACCAATATTAACAGCTTTTAAATCAGGTAATGGCTTCAGCGTTACCTATTTATGAGATCAATTAATAGCCCAATTTGTGCTCCTGCAACCAGTATGATCTACTAAGCTGTGCATCAGTAATCAGCATATATCTGAAGGTAAAACACTGCCACCAATTGAAACAAAAACATTCCCTATCTTGAACAGAGGGGAGAGGATGCCTGGCAATAGAAAAACTTTTGTAGAATGGTCTCATATCTAATTACATAGATGTGCACACAAAAAAGCATTGATTCTGTTAAACATTACCATGCTCCACTTTGGAAATTCAGGTCTCCTTCTCTCCTGGGAGAGGAACTCAGACAGGTTCAGTAACACCTGCAATCTATCTGAAGTGGTAAAATGTGTTAATTGCTTATCCCGAAACACCTGTGGGAAAAGGAATCTAATACAAAGCCAAAAGCAGTATGTTTCCTTATTTACTTCATTTAAAAAACTGAAATAGAAAATCCACAGTAGGCAGGGCCGGCGCTACCTGTTAGGCGGACTAGGCAGCCGCCTAGGGCGCCCCTTGGGAAGGGGCACCGCCAGGAGCGCCGGCCCCCCTCATTCTGCAGCCGCCCAAGCGCTCTGTAGAGAGCCTCACGCGGCTGCAGCTTTGCCCGCCCGGGCGCAGTCTGAGGAGAGCGGCTGACAGGAGGGAAGATAAGGGCTTAGACTCAACTGGGCCTCATGTATGCAGTGGACTACTGTCATCACTTCCGAGAGAGATAGGACAGACCCCTGGTTGCTGAAGTAGGAACCCAGGCTGGCAACTCTTACCGGTATGCTGTTTGCTGGGTCTTCAGGGGCAATAGGCTGAACCCTGGCCTCGCTTCATGTAGGTAGTATATCACATACATCCCCTGAGGGGGTACCCAACCTGGCCTGTTGCTGGGACTTCAGGGATAAGAGGCTGAGCCTGGCATGCAGTGGACCATTTTCATCCCTTTCAGGGAGATGTTGGGTCCGACCCCCGGTCTCTAAAGGGGGTACCCAGGCTAGCCACTTCATCTTAGTGCGTTTTGCTGGGTCTTCAGGGTTTAGCGGCTGAACCCCGACAGGGCCTAAAAAATATTGCCTGCTGAGCATAAAAGAAAAAATCTAGGCCTGCATAAGCAGACACCTTCCAAACTGCTGTGAAGGACAGGAAAAAAGACTGCCGGATGGGAAGGGGGAGGATCTATTTATACCAGTGTCAGAGTTCTATTTCCTGTCCTTTCTGCTGTAAGGGGAGGATCTAACCCATAAGTAAAGGCTGCCATGAATATTAGTCAGGATATATATATATATATATCAAAATACAGTTAGAATAAATTATATATATATATATAATGTATTATTATTTAAAAAAATTAATTTACTTAATATTGTATTTCATAATATATATATATATTAATATCAAAATACAGTTAGAATAAATTACATATATATATATATATAAAATGTTATTTAATTATTTTCATTTACTTAATATTTGTATTTCATAATATATATATATATATATTAATATTAAAAAACAGTTAGAATAAATGACATATATATATATATATATATATATATATATAAAATGTATTGTTATTAAATATTTTTTTCATTTACTTAATATTTGTATTTCATAATATATATATATATACTTATTGCCCCCCAGCAGCACCCTAATTTAGCATGTGTAGATGAGTGCAGCCAAACCCTTATTTTCTCATATATGTAATTATATATTATGTATATACGTGTGTAATTTAATTATAAGTGTATTTTTATATTAATATATGTATACATGAATATAAAAATACACTTAGTATGACATTATATATATAAGATATATACACACACATATATAGCTATATTTTTATTTATTTACAATTTTTTAAAATTTTAAACATGCAGGGAGATACATGGATGCCTACTGTGGCCATGTGACCGCTCTGTTAGAGCGATCACATGGCCACGGGGACTGCCTGGGCTGTTAGGCAGTCCTTACAGACTGGGAGCAACTACTGTCGGCTGGGGAACAGCGGCGACCAGGTAAGTAAATATTACCATTATGACGGTTCAGGACCGTCATTGGTCCTCAAGGGGATGTTTCCGATGATGGTCCTGAACCGTCAGCGGTTATTAAGGGGTTAATATATTTAATAACTATATATAAGTATGTATTTATTTCTGTTCCTCTTCTTTTTCCCTCTATTAGTTACTTTTTCTCACTTTATCTGTGAACCAAAAAGAGGGAAAATCTGCCTATTAGTTAACTGTAAAATATATACATAACTATAATTGTATATGTGACAAAATGCCTTTTGTCACTGGATTTTTTTGTGACCAACTGCCCTTTGCCCCAGGCTTTTGGAGGAGCCTGATTGCCAGCCTTCTGCCTCATGACTATGGCCCTGGGGTGTATGGCCCTTATAAAACTTTACCCCATGGCGATTTGACTGTGTTCGTGGGATCTGAGTGCTGTTCGGATATATTGAGCGCTCAGATCCAAGCTATCTGGGGATAGGTTGAATGTGTGGGCTCTGTTCAGTATGATAGGAATTATGTATATTTGTGTATTTTTGCTGTTGTTGTGAATAGAGATATTTTCTGTACCTGGAGATAATTGGCTTACCACACCCAAGTCATGCTTACAGTCGGTCAAAAATGACTTCCATCTAACTTTTGAACCACTGGACCAATTTGTATGATTTTGACATATGTTTGTATACTGCGTATGCTGGTTCAGAATATGTAAGTTTTATGTTAATGTGATGTATGCTTTTTCAGTTATGAATATTGTGTAAAACTGTATATTATCCTGCCTGTGATTATTACGTTAGCCCATTGTGTTCAGTAATTATATCACAGGCAGAGGGGAGGATTTTGCTGTAATGAATGGGAGTGTCAGACATTGTTGTATTGTTTTGATTGGTTTGTGTCCTTTGTATGTCTGTGTACCATCAGGTCCAGGGTATGTGCCTCTGGCCTGGGGAATTGTATAAATTGTGAGTGCTTGCTTCCATTAAACAGAACTGCTTTACCCCTTCATGAAGTCTTGGCTCATGTTTGGGGGATGGGATAACTACACTCTGTGGATTGCTATATCACAATACTCCCCTGAGTTTAAGCTCTTGTAAGAGCTTGTTCCTGGTTCCTGCTCTCTGGATCTAAGAGAGGTCTACCCACTGGGAGCTGAACCCTGGTCTTGGGTCCAGAGTGGGTGGAGGACGCAGAAACCCCAACCAAGCTACGGCGGTTCGTGGGGTTGGTGGTGGTTGTGTTGTTGAGTGCGTTGCTGATGGTCCTTGGCGAGCACTAGGAGCATCTTTTGACGGAGGCACCCAGTCGGGGTGGCAGGCGTTCCGTCACAGTATATAATTTGGAGTAGACTAGTTTGCCCATGTTTGTGCCCTTTTTGTTTGTCTGATTTTTTTACTAAATCTTTTTTAGTAGACGAAATTCTAATGAACCAAACCATCACATGCACGGAACCATCGACCGTCCCGAAATTTGTTTTTTTGGGTGGATGAAGTAATTCAGCTTAGAATATTTTTTCCGCAGTGCAAAAGTCTTCTTAATATTTGATATATTAATAGCTAATCAGAGTTTCTTTTTGTTTTTTATTTTAGGCAGAAGTGCCCCAGGGCCAAATGACAAACTTTCATTCTATAAATCTAAGAATTCCATAACCTGGATCTGCTAGATCTGTCCTTCTGTACGTCTGTCTGTCACTCACATTCTTTCTATCTGTGTTTTTTAGACCAGGGTTATAATTAACATGAAAAATGCATTAATTGCCCCATTCCTAATATGTGAACACACAGAGTGAAATGCTAACCAATAGTGCTAAAAATAATCATAAGATTGAAATGGATGTTATAAAACAAAATTGCCTTAATTATTGTTCCACGTTGCTTTTCTTATCTGGACTTTAACATCAATATACAAAATGTGATTGTTCAAGTGAAAGACAGTAACAAAGAACGTGATTGCAGATAAGAACCATTCGGCCCATCTAGTCTGCCCAATTTTCTAAATACTTTCATTAGTCCCTGGCCTTATCTTATATGTAGGATAGCCTTATGCCTATCCCATGCATGCTTAAACTCCTTTACTGTGTTAACCTCTACCACTTCAGCTGGAAGGCTATTCCATGCATCCACTACCCTCTCAGTAAAGTAATACTTCCTGATATTATTTTTAAACCTTTTGTCCCTCTAATTTAAGACTATGTCCTCTTGTTGTGGTAGTTTTTCTTCTTTTAAATATAGTCTCCTCCTTTAATGTGTTGATTCCCTTTATATATTTAAATATTTCTATCATATCCCCCCTGTCTCGTCTTTCCTCCAAGCTATACATGTTAAGATCCTTTAACCTTTCCTGGTAAGTTTTATCCTGCAATCCATGAACCAGTTTAGTAGCCTTTCTCTGAACTCTCTCTAAAGTACCAATATCCTTCTGAAGATACGGTCTCCAGTACTGTGTACAATACTCCAAGTGAGGTCTCACCAGTGTTCTTTACAATGGCATGAGCACTTCCCTCTTTCTACTGCTAATACGTCTCCCTATACAACCAAGCATTCTGCTAGCATTTCCTGCTGCTCTATTACATTGTCTGCCTACCTTTAAGTCATCAGAAATAATCACCCCTAAATCTCTTTCCTCATATGTTGAGGTTAGGACTCTATCAAATATTCTGTACTCTGCCCTTGGGTTTTTACATCCAAGATGCATTATCTTGTACTGTGATGTTGAAAAACAAGATACAAGGAAATATTTGACATACACATATTATAAATATTGTGTTAAAATAGCACATTACCATTTGCACATTGTATTTGTAACATGGGGTAAGTCAAGGTGTTTAAATAGATCTAATATGAGCGATTAAGAGATATTCGTACACCTGTCAATTTACTTTACAGATTCCTTCTAGTTATTTTGCACTTTATTAACATATCTCTTCATCTAACCCCACGTAATCCCAGCAGCTACTTTGTAACTTTATCACTTCTGGTTTGTTATTGTTTACCACCTCTACTGGAATCCTATTCCATGCATTCACACCTCTTGCTGTAGACCATGGGTCGTCAACCTGGTCCCTACCGCCCACTAGTGGGCGTTTTGGGATTCCAGGTGGGCGGTAGGGACTTTGGAGGTTAAAACCTCCTTTTGAGCGAGCGCGCGAGCGGGCGGGCGCGCGAGCGAGCGGGCGCGCGAGCGAGCGCACACATCAAGAAACCAACGCGAGCGAGTGGGCGGGCGGTGCAGGCGGGCGCGAGCGCACACATCAGTCAACCTCCTTTTGTGTGAGAAGTTGTCGGGCGGGAGCGAGCGCACGCAAACACGTGGGAAGAGGAAGGGGAGGAGTTGAAACGGATAGCAGGGACAGGCAGAAGCAGGCTGAAACGGAGCAGAGGAGTTGAAAAAGAAAAGTTATAGGCAGGAGAAAGAGAATTGTTTAGGGGAGGAGTGGAAACTGATAGCAGGGACAGGCAGAAGCAGGCTGAAACAGAGCAGAGGAGTTGAAAAAGAAAAGTTATAGGCAGGAGAAAGAGAATTGTTTAGGGGAGGAGTGGAAACTGATAGCAGGGACAGGCAGAAGCAGGCTGAAACAGAGCAGAGGAGCTGAAAAAGAAAAGTTATAGGCAGGAGAAAGAGAATTGTTTAGGGGAGGAGTGGAAACTGATAGCAGGGACAGGCAGAAGCAGGTTGAAACGGAGCAGAGGAGTTGAAAAAGAAAAGTTATAGGCAGGAGAAAGAGAATTGTTTAGGGGAGGAGTGGAAACTGATAGCAGGGACAGGCAGAAGCAGGCTGAAACAGAGCAGAGGAGTTGAAAAAGAAAAGTTATAGGCAGGAGAAAGAGAAGTGTTTAGGGGAGGAGTGGAAACTGATAGCAGGGACAGGCAGAAGCAGGCTGAAACAGAGCAGAGGAGTTGAAAAAGAAAAGTTATAGGCAGGAGAAAGAGAATTGTTTAGGGGAGGAGTGGAAACTGATAGCAGGGACAGGCAGAAGCAGGCTGAAACAGAGCAGAGGAGTTGAAAAAGAAAAGTTATAGGCAGGAGAAAGAGGAATGTTTAGGGGAGGAGTGGAAACTGATAGCAGGGACAGGCAGAAGCAGGCTGAAACGGAGCAGAGGAGTTGAAAAAGAAAAGTTAAGGGCAAAGAGAGAAAGAGAATTGTTGGCTAATAATAATAAGTGGGCTAACTAGCTCAGCCTTACTTTTGTCGCTCAGGAAGGTAAAAGAAAGGAGATAAAAAGGAAAAGATAAAAAAAAGGAAGAAAAATAGAAAAAAGGGGATAAAATAAAGGAGGAGAGTAAGCAGTGTTTAGTCTGGCTCATAAATTAAGTTTTGTTATCTTATAAAATAAAAGAAAAAAATAAGTAAGGGAAGGAGAAAATAAAAAAAAGGAAAAAGAGATCCTTAATATAGTGATATACTATAAGGAAGGTAAAGAAGCAGGCAGGAAAAGGAATTTCTTTTGATGGTGACATTAATAAAAATTGGCACCTAATACAGCATTGTTTTTGGTGTTAGTAATAAAAGGGAAAAGAGGAGGGAAAAAAGCACTGTGTGGAGTGCAGATCAAAACGTAAGAGTAAAAGTAGTTGTTAAATTGTGAAACAAATTTAGAACCCATGTCTGAAAAAAAGAAATACGCTCGTGGCTATTTACCAGAGTATCTGAAGATGGGTTTCATTGAATCTGTTACAAATAAACAGCTTCCAATGTGTTTACTGTGCCACAAGACATTATCTAATGAAGCAATGAAGCCAAGTCGATTGCGAGAACATCTTACTACAAAGCATTCGCAAGATAAAGATAAGCCCATTGAATATTTTCAAGAAATCTATAAAAGATTTCAAAATCGTTCAACAATAGCTACATCCTTTCAAAAACAACATGCAAAGAATGAGGATGGATTAACTGCAGCTTATCGTATATCACACTTAATTGCAAAAAGTGGTAAAAGCCATAATATTGGAGAAACTTTGATAAAACCCTCTATCAAAGAATTTATCTCAACAGTAATGCATCAGGATATACCTGAAGTTTTAAAAACATTGCCCCTTAGCGATAACACAGTAAAGAGACGCATTGATGAAATGGCGGCTAATGTTGAAAATAAACTTATAGGTATTCTCCAAAATTCGTCATTTTCTATACAATTGGATGAGTCTGTCATTGCAGATAATAATGCTCTACTGATGACATATGTACGGTACCTTGATGAAAACAATACATTGCAAGAAGAAATGCTATTCACTGTCAATCTGATTACAGATACAAAAGGATTATCAATATTTAATGCTGTGAAATCATACTTTGCAAAAAACAATATACCCTTGAACAATATTGTTGCATGTGCTACTGACGGAGCACCATCAATGGTAGGCCGCTATCGTGGGTTTGTTGCTTACTTGAAGGAAGAAGTGCCAAGCGTTTTGTGTATTCATTGTGTTGTACACAGACAACATATTGTAGGAAAACATTTAAGTACAAGTCTCCATTCATCATTAAGTATTATAATTAAAGCTGTAAATAAGATAAAATCTAATGCCAAGTGTGATAGAATGTTTCGACAGCTGTGCCAGGACAATAACGAGCAGTTTATTAGGTTACTTTTACATACAGAAGTTCGATGGCTCTCAAAGGGTACATGCTTGACTCGTTTTGTTGCATTATTTGATAGTGTCGTACAGTTTTTTGAAAGTGATAATGAGACTGGTCTCTATGAACAGTTAAAAAACGTAAAGAATGATGCCTTTTATTTGGCAGACATTTTCAAGAGATTTAATGACATTAATTTGCAGCTTCAAGGAGCCAATATAACTCTTATAAGTTGCAAAAATATTGTGTCATTATTTATCGAAAAGCTTGATCTTCTCCGTCATAATATTTTCAAGAGAGAATTTCATCAGTTTCCTGAATTGTCCTCTATAAACAATGATGTAAGTCCGGGGGATATTGAAAGGTTCAGTAGTCACCTCAAGGAACTCAAATTGGATATGGAAAAACGATTTCAAGATATTTTGAACTTAAAGGTGCATGACTGGATGATAAATCCTTTTACAGCAAATGTTGCTGAAGTTGATATAACTTGCCAAGAAGAACTATTAGAACTTAAATATGACGAAGAGAGTAAATGTAATTTTGGCAGTGGTGGATACCAAAAACTCTGGCAAAATAAAAAAATGCCTGCGTTATATCCAAATATGTGGAAAATGATGTTCAATTTATTGATACCTTTCCCTACCACATATCTTGTAGAATCAGGCTTTAGTGCTGTTAATCATATTATGAGCAAACAGAGAAACCGTCTGAATATCACCGAAAGAGGAGACCTTCGTTTGTTCCATACGAAAATCGAACCAGATATCAAATATTTAGTCTTGCAGCATCAGCCTCAAGGATCTCACTAGTAAAGCTAATTTCAATTTACTTTATTGTTTTCTAATTAAACTTTATAAAGTTAAAAACATTATAAACATGCATAAAGTAGAAATAAAAAGATAAATGTACGTACATTTATTTATTTTTTTTAAAACAACCTCCTTTCTAAAAAATATTCCGCGCTTGCGCGAAAACTGGTGGGCGGTAAGGAAATTTTTCCATCAAGAAAGATGCATTAGTGGGCGGTAGGTAGAAAAAGGTTGACTACCACTGCTGTAGACTGATACCCACCTGGAGCACAGAGCGAGGAGTTTCCACTGGGTTAAGTTGCAGCATGTTCCCCAACAAGGGAAGTGGTGTGGGACCCGGGGGCAGGTTCCCTTGTTTCTTTTTGTCTCTCCATATTACAAGGTAAAACAGGAGCGTGATAAAGGAGACGAGAAGTAATGTCCCTGTGAGTCCCAGATCCATTGCAGCAACAATAAATGTTCAGGCAATTCTCTTCCTCCCTGTGATCCTAAACAGGGTTGTCCTCAGTATTGTAACCCTTGAAACTTGGCAGCTGTAAGCAGTTTTACATGTTTACAGAAATGCTTTGTGTGAGAACTGCAGTGAGATACCCACCTATTGGTTGCTTAGAGAAATACATGAAATGTGATTTTTTTTCTGTCTATACATTTAAGCCTATCTAGTGAAAAGATCCGTAATATGAGGCCTTTTTCCATACACAGATACAGACACAGTGCATGCATACAACATGCAGACAGGACATAGAGAGGAGAAGGCTGCAATATATGTAAGGGACCCAAAACACACAGACCCTAATATAAAACAGACAGTGCTATAGTCCATATTGCCAGATGTTACAGAGGTTTAATGGTTATTGAGGTAGCCAAGGCCAGCTATAGGACAAATCAGAGTAAACGGTCACCACCCGTGATTACAGAGAACGATATAATTGATAATCACATCATTGTCAGTTATCAGAAAATCAGAATTCTCACAAATGCACTATTGGGCTAAGCAAGAACCACAGCTGAGTGTCTGGGAAAAGAAGTGCAGGGATTTAAGTAATTTATATTATATTTTGATTGGGCTTAATAGGGGAGCGCTAGAAGACGCAAGACCGGCCGATCGCTAATTTTGCATCATTCACAGCATCCTTACAGTGTGCCGATTTTATTATCTGATCAAGTGAGAAGAGACCAGTAGAGAGAAAAATATTTTAAAAATCTGTATATTTTATATTTGCGAAATAGATTGTAAGCTATTTTGAGGAGGATCCCCATCAGCCTATAGTTTCTGTAACATTTTGCAGTTGTCTCATCTATTGTTATATTTCCACTTTTAATATTGTAAAGCAATGCATAATATGTTGGTGCTATAATAATGATAATATAATTTGTGGTTGGGGACAATATGTCGAGTTATAGTAGTGGTGGCATAAGTCGGTTGTGGTGTGTGAGAAACAGATGTTCAGGTAGGCCTGTAAAAAGAGGGCCCACCAAATTCAATGGTCTGACAAAAGAAGCAGGTGTGCTGAACCAGTCAGTAACAGTAAAGAGGAAGGGACGGCCTGTATATTTATAAGTCAACTAACCCCTCCAACATTTCCAGGCTTCACCCACAGTCTCAGCCTTTATATTTGTGGTCGGGAACAATACTCCAAGTTATAGTAGTGGTGGCATAAGTTGGTTTTGGTGTGAGGGAAACCGACGTTAAGGTAGGCCTGTAAAAATAGGGCAAAAGTTAGTTTACCACTATTATTACATAACCAATACTTTAATATTTATCAACATTATAGCCATAATGATATAACACGCAGGTACTGGCTGACCCTTGTTAAGCCAAGTGGCAAAACAATTAAGCTAGATATGTGACTTGGGAACCTAACTCGTTGCCATGTGGCGATGAGAGGCTCTACCGATGATTTGACCCGTACGGTAGGTTTGCCATTGAATTTTGTGGTGGGGTATTGGTCTCTCAGTGAGGGCTAAAGAGATATATGATAAGTTGGCAGTGACTGGTGAGGCCCTAACTGCTTTGTCAAGAGGGTGGAGATGCAAGATAGTAACTATTATTGTCCCAAGGGCGAAATACCTCCGTTGAGGATATCTACCTGTACCTAAAAGCTGCTTATACATAGAAGAAGCGCTACTTTCAATATTTCAATATTTCCAGACACTTGCACATTCAGATTTAAAAAATTGTCCTCCTTTTTTTATTGCAAAAAATTGGAAAGAAGGGTTGGTTCCAAAATCTAGAAACCATTAAGGAAACAATATATAATATTAGAAAATGGAATACATAATACACTCAGCGAATAATACCATCAATGTTTTCTAAAAAATCTGGCACCAGAATCTACAGATGGAAGATATGTATGAGAACAATTTAGATCAATATTGTAAAATCTCAGAGAAGTCGAGTACAAAAAAGAAAAGAGGAGAAAGAAAGGAAAAAGAAAAAAGGAAAGAGAAGAGAAGAGAAGGGAAAAAAAGGTAATGAAAGGGAGGACGAAGAATATAACAAAAAACAATAGAGGAAAAGGATAGAAAAAAAATTCACAAAAATGAGACAATCATCCATTTACCTCTAAACCATGGGTCGTCAACCTGGTCCCTACCGCCCACTAGTGGGCGTTTTGGGATTCCAGGTGGGCGGTAGGGACTTTGGAGGTTAAAACCTCCTTTTGAGCGAGCGCGCGAGCGGGCGGGCGCGCGAGCGAGCGGGCGCGCGAGCGAGCGCACACATCAAGAAACCAACGCGAGCGAGTGGGCGGGCGGTGCAGGCGGGCGCGAGCGCACACATCAGTCAACCTCCTTTTGTGTGAGAAGTTGTCGGGCGGGAGCGAGCGCACGCAAACACGTGGGAAGAGGAAGGGGAGGAGTTGAAACTGATAGCAGGGACAGGCAGAAGCAGGCTGAAACGGAGCAGAGGAGTTGAAAAAGAAAAGTTATAGGCAGGAGAAAGAGAATTGTTTAGGGGAGGAGTGGAAACTGATAGCAGGGACAGGCAGAAGCAGGCTGAAACAGAGCAGAGGAGTTGAAAAAGAAAAGTTATAGGCAGGAGAAAGAGAACTGTTTAGGGGAGGAGTGGAAACTGATAGCAGGGACAGGCAGAAGCAGGCTGAAACAGAGCAGAGGAGTTGAAAAAGAAAAGTTATAGGCAGGAGAAAGAGAATTGTTTAGGGGAGGAGTGGAAACTGATAGCAGGGACAGGCAGAAGCAGGCTGAAACGGAGCAGAGGAGTTGAAAAAGAAAAGTTATAGGCAGGAGAAAGAGAATTGTTTAGGGGAGGAGTGGAAACTGATAGCAGGGACAGGCAGAAGCAGGCTGAAGCAGAGCAGAGGAGTTGAAAAAGAAAAGTTATAGGCAGGAGAAAGAGAATTGTTTAGGGGAGGAGTGGAAACTGATAGCAGGGACAGGCAGAAGCAGGCTGAAACGGAGCAGAGGAGTTGAAAAAGAAAAGTTAAGGGCAAAGAGAGAAAGAGAATTGTTGGCTAATAATAATAAGTGGGCTAACTAGCTCAGCCTTACTTTTGTCGCTCAGGAAGGTAAAAGAAAGGAGATAAAAAGGAAAAGATAAAAAAAATTAAAAAAGGAAGAAAAATAGAAAAAAGGGGATAAAATAAAGGAGGAGAGTAAGCAGTGTTTAGTCTGGCTCATAAATTAAGTTTTGTTATCTTATAAAATAAAAGAAAAAAATAAGTAAGGGAAGGAGAAAATAAAAAAAAGGAAAAAGAGATCCTTAATATAGTGATATACTATAAGGAAGGTAAAGAAGCAGGCAGGAAAAGGAATTTCTTTTGATGGTGACATTAATAAAAATTGGCACCTAATACAGCATTGTTTTTGGTGTTAGTAGCATCAGCCTCAAGGATCTCACTAGTAAAGCTAATTTCAATTTACTTTATTGTTTTCTAATTAAACTTTATAAAGTTAAAAACATTATAAACATGCATAAAGTAGAAATAAAAAGATAAATGTACGTACATTTATTTATTTTTTTTAAAACAACCTCCTTTCTAAAAAATATTCCGCGCTTGCGCGAAAACTGGTGGGCGGTAAGGAAATTTTTCCATCAAGAAAGATGCATTAGTGGGCGGTAGGTAGAAAAAGGTTGACTACCACTGCTCTAAACAAAAACTCAATTATAAAGAAAAAAAATAAAACAAAAATGAAGGAAAATGGGTAGCAGGGAACAAGATGGAAAGGAGAGTGAAGAAGAACAGGATAGGAAAGAAAAGTGAAAGTAAGAGAGGGGTAAAGAAAAAAGAAAAAGAAAAGAGGGAAATAAAACATATTATAGATACACTATTACAGAGATATTCTTATAACATTTAGGTTTATGGTTAACCAAGATGTAACTCATGAATCTTAGGTGATTTTTCTTTTTTTTTCTTTTTTCTGTTTTTTTTTTTAAATTACCATATATACTCAAGTATAAGTCTAGTTTTTCAGCACATTATTTGTGCTGAAAAACCACCACTCGACTTATACTCGAGTCAACGTCTGTATTATGGCAACTTACATTGCCATAATACAGACCAGGACTGCCGGGCTCATTACAAGCCCGGCAGTCCTGTTGGGGGCTGGCAGAGAGCTGTTACTTACCTTTCCTGCAGCTCCTGTCAGCTCCCTTCTCCTGTGCTCCGGTCAGCTCCCTTCTCCTGCGCTCCGGTCAGCTCCCTTCTCCTGTGCTCCGGTCAGCTCCCTTCTCCTCCACTGTAAGTCTCGCGGTGTGACTGCCGCGCGGACCGGATCGGAGGAGAAGGGAGCTGACAGGAGCTGCAGGAAAGGTAAGTAACAGCTCTCTGCCAGCCCCCCTCCTACACAGCCCATCCACTGGACCACCAGGGAATGAGAGCCCCCCTCTCTGGCCAGCTAACAAGCAGGGAGGGGGGCCGAAAAAAAATGAAATAATAAAAAAAAAAATATTACAATAAAAAAATGTAAATATTAAAATTAAAAAAGTAAATAATAAAATAAAAAAATAATACCAAAATAAAAAAATTAAAATATTAAAATAAAAAAAATTAAAAAATTAAAAATGCCCTCCCCCACCCAGTTCACACACAAACACACACTCATACAAACACACACTGCATTGTGTAAACACACACTGCATTATATACACACTCATAAAAACACACACTCTGCATTAAACACACACACTCTGCATTATATACACACACACACTCTGCATTCACACAAACACACACACTCTGCATTATATAATGCAGAGTGTGTGTTTGTATGAGTGTGTATATAATGCAGAGTGTGTTTTTGTATGAGTGTGTGTATATAATGCAGATTGTTTGTATGAGTGTGTGTGTGTATAATGCAGAGTGTGTGTTTGTATGAATGTGTGTGTATATAATGCAGTGTGTGTGTTTGTATGAGTGTGTGTGTGTATATAATTATAAAAATCACAACTTCATAGCCCCAAGTTTTACCCTCGACTTATCCACGAGGCATAGCATATTTCACAATTGTTGGTCACAAAACTGCACTCGACTTATACATGAGATCGACTTATACACGAGTATATACGGTAATTCATTTATTTTTATATGCTGTGATTATAATAATCAATGATGGAAAATATAAGAAAAATGTAAAAAGCTGTAGAAAGAAGGAACATTTTAAAAGAAGGGAATGAAAACAAAAAAAAAAAGAAATGTGATTATTACTTTTGTTAAAATTCAAAAACATGTTTGGTATTGTAACTTATAAAAGTTGCCAATAGAAAAACACCTCAGTAAAAAAAAAAAAAAAAAAAAAAAAAAAAGAGGGGAGGCAGGAGAAACCCTTTTCCCTTACTTTAAAAATGGCAGATATACAAATCATTATTTATGTCCAGGGGGGATTAAAAGTATTAAAATTGAAAATTAACTCTATCTTCTCCTTTCCTAACTTTTTATTAAAATTCCCTAATCTCCTGTCTCTTGCAACATTTGAATGCGCAAAAGAAACGTCCTTCTTCGTTCTGGATGTGGGTATTTTTAAAATGGAGGGAAACGGGTTTCTGAACCTTTTTTTAATATTTCTCACATGGTCTGAAAATCGCATATGTAAACACCTATATAAAGGGAGCCACACGGACATTTTAACATATATTACATACACAAGCAAGTAGGTTCCTTAACATAAAAGTCTGTGATTTGTCTCCTTCCATGGTCTATCAGCTTTCCTGGTGTCTGCTACACACACCCACCATGATCTCCCTGCTGCCTGAAGCTCTTGCAAGGAGATAAGCCCTGCAGTGGAACTGTAGTAGTTATGGTTCTTGTAACATTTCTTTAAAGTATTTTTTTCTGGTAATAATTTACATTTATCTCACTACCTGTTTTTAAGGACCATTATCATTTTGTCATTATATAATATACTGTTATAAATACTGACTTTACATGTTACTTTCAGAATCGATTGCAGTGGTCATATTATTTATTTTTTTTGCAGGAGAAAGTAAAAATGCAAGATAAACTGATTGTTAAAACTTTGATTGAATGTATCTCAGTCATTTGCAAAGTAACACACACAGAAAATAAGCAATGACACAGAACATATGACGGATAATTAAGGTTTATTTTGACCCAAAAATTGCTGTCCATCATTGGTGTTAAAATTAAATCAGATTTTGCCTGAATTTACTCGCTGTCTGTTAACCCCTTAACGCCGTTACGTCGTTCTATGCTGTCCCCATTTAAATGTGCTTTAAAGCCGTTGCGGCGGCATAGAACGCTGTAACGGCTGCAGGCCAGGGATACTCACCTCCGCTGCGATCCTCTTCTGGAGGGCTGCCTGACAGTCCAGGCAGCCCTCCCACAGCAAAAGAAGAGCGATCACATGGCCCTCTAGAGCTGGCTGTGGATCTGCCAGCAGGGGGACTGTCTTAAATGTCAGACAGTCCCCCTGCTGGTGGGAAAGTAAACAAAAATGATTAAACATGTTTTAAAATGAAATAGAAATGTATATATATCTAATATATGTATATATATATTATATATATATATATAATATATATACATATTATATATATGTAACGTCATACAAAGTGTATTTTAATATTAATATAAGTATGTATATTAATATTAAAATACACTTATATTATATATATATATATATATATATATATATATATATATATATATATACGTATAATTACAATAATAAATACATTAAATAATAAAATAAATAAATAAAATATTGAAACAAAATTTAATATAAATTATATATTCATATGTAATTTCATTCTAACTGTATTTTGTTATTAATATATATATATATATATATATATATATATATATATATATATATATATATATATATATATATATATTGGTAACAAAATAAACTTAGAATGACATTCTATATATATCCATCTATATATAAAATACAAATAACTGCAAATATATATATATATATATAGATAGATAGATAGATAGATAGATAAATACATATAATTACATAAAAGATTACATTAATACACACGTAGAATTTAAATACCTATAAATGCATATATATTAAACTTCTACATGTATATTTAAGTAATATTTTAACATAATTATGTGATTTGACTAATTAAAATTTGATTGACATGCCTGACAACACAGGGAGAAAGTGCAGAGAATTTAATTTGCAAGCACTATATTTGACCCTGTAACTCTCCAAGACACCATAAAACCTGTACATAGGGGGTACTGTTTTACTCGGGAGACTTCGCTGAACTCAAATATTAGTGTTTCAAACTGGTAAATTGTATTACAACAATGATATTTTAAGTAAAAGTTAAGTTTTTTGCATTTTTTACAAACGAACTGCACTTTTATCGACTATATTATTGTTGTAATATGTTTTACTGTTTTAAAACACTAATATTTGTGGTTAGTGAAGTCTCCCGAGAATAACAGTACCCCCCATGTACAGGTTTTATGGTGTTTTGGAAAGTTAGAGAGTCACATATAAGGCTTGCATTTCATTTTTTTGACATTGAAATTTGCCAGATTGGTTATGTTGCCTTTGAGAGCGTATGGTAGCCCAGGAATGAGAATTACCCCCATGATGGCATATCATTTGCAAAAGTAGACAACCCAGGGTATTGCAAGTGGGGTAAGTCCAGTCTTTCTTAGTAGCCACTTAGTCACAAACACTGGCCAAATATTAGTTAAATTGTCAGAAGGTATCCATCTGAGCTTTCAGTGGTTGGAGATATAAGTCCTATTTATTATTCATGAGGAATTATCATAAGAATGGATTTTGACAATGCCCAGCTGTTCACAAGGACTATTCCCCAGAATTATTATTGTTTATTCTTCAAAGAGAGCAAACAGCTTCCACAGTTGTTTCACAATAACAGACAAGCTGGTGGTTGGCCGACATTACATGAAGTGTAACATGTACACGTGGGACAATAGATAACTCTACTGCGTTTATATGACATAGTAACAATCGTCGCTGTTCTTAGTCTTGTGTCACATTGTATTTTTTTTCATTAACATGGAGACAGAGAATTAATTAGGAGTCGCTATGGTGTTTGAGGATGTCATTTAGGATTCAGAACGAGGGACAGCATATATTTGGTAAGCACGAGGTCTTGAAGCGTTGGTGTTTGGCTCAGGAGTGATTTCAATGTCTTCTTTATCCACTGTTGGTTTGAGGATGAAATTTTGCAAGATGGTCGTGAAAAAGAGGAAAAGCTCCATGCGAGCCAAACCCTCCCCAACACACGCACGTTTACCTGAAGACAGCGAGAGCACACGATTAAGGAGAAAGACATAGAGGTCAGTTACTGATGGAACTCTCTAAAATTCCATAAATCTAAATATTAATCTCCGATATAATGTTATTACCTGCAGAGAATGGAATGAAGGCATCATTCTTCTTAAAGCAGCCCTTCTCATCCAGAAAATGACCAGGGTCGAATTGTAGAGGGTTTTTAAAGTATTTGGGATCCTTCAGAACAGAGGTCAGAACTAGCAAAACCACAGTGCCCTAAAACAATTCAAATAAAGTGTCAGTGGGTTTTATTTCAACAAACAATTAAAGGGATTCTCCAGTGCCAGGAAAACATATTTGATTTTCTGGCACTGCAGGACCCTGGAGTGCCTCTCTCCCTCCCACCCAAAATCCTAAGTTGCTGAAGGGGTTGAAACCCCTTCAGTAACTTACCGGAGTCCAGCGACGATGTCCCTCGGCGCTGGTCAGGTTCCGCCTACTCTCGCCCCCCCTCAACCCCCGCCGACGTCAGCCGGCGGGGAGACCTAATGCGCATGCGCAGCAATGGCCGCGCACGCGCATTGAATAATGCTTTCCTACGGGGATTTCGGCGACGCTGGAAATCCCCATGGGAAAGCATTGAATAATGCTCACATAGTGTTAGGACGTCCAGCGTCATATAAAACACTTTTCGTGTTCTAAGAACACAGAAGTCCCTCTAGTGGCTGTATGATAGACAGCCACTAGAGGAGGACTTAACCTTTGCAGGGTTAAAGGTAGTGGGAGTTGGCACCCAGACCACTCTAATGGGCAGAAGTGGCCTGGGTGCCTGGAGTGTCCCTTTAAGTTTAATGAAATTTAAGTGCAGACATTCAATCATAGTAAAATTGTAAAATGTAAAATGTTTATATGTCAATCCCTAATCAAGTTTACTGCCCTATTTCAATTGACGAGTTTTAAGGGTCATATAAGGACAACATATTTATGCCCTTCGGTGATTACAAACAATGATTTTTTTTTCTGTCATAGGCATAAAATGTTATATATATATATATATATATATATACTGCTTCAGAACTGAGCAAGAGAGGAAAACTCAAGAAAGCATGTCTTTGAAATTGTCACGGTGTACTACCCCAACACGCAGAGTTTTGGATAGGAAGGGACAAGACTAGGATAAAACTTATACCGGGTCTTAGAATGGCCGGACTAAACGTCAGACAGAGATAAACCGTAATCAGAGACGAGCTGAGATTAGGGTAATGGAGAGACAACAAAAACAGGAAATAGCCAGTCAGGTACACGGTAATCAGTCAGACGGGCAAACAAGCCAGGAAAGGGTTGAAGATAAACTCAGAGTCAGATACAAAGCCAAGGTCAATACCAAAATAAATACAATAGATCAAGGAATGCACTAAAGGGTACTGAAACAGAAACCACGATAGGGCAAAGTGGATATGGCTAGAAAAGTTTAAATATCCTTAACTAACATTTGATTGGCCCACGTCATGCTTACGCCTCCAAAACGTGCGTATGTGGGGATACCGGAATGATGTGGGCCAATGGCAGCCTGATTCTACGTTTGGCAGAAAATAGAATATGAGGTGGATAGCACACTGGAAAACCAGAAGTGTGTACCAGAATATTTATACACAAGTTGAGAATAAATAAATGTATATACCATAGAACATACTATAAAGGAGATCTTTATCCAGGTGCCTCTGAAAAGAATAAAACTCATATAGGGCAATATCGTACTGGTAAATATCCCAATTCTCAAATATGTATATACAAATGGTTAAGTATCCTACTCACATTTTTATGAGCCTGCATTCAAACAGGCTCAAGTATATAGGCATGAGTAGGATATATAGATCAAATCCTTCAATTGATGTATTCCTCCCCCATATATATGGGTATATAAGAGCAAAAAAATGGATATTTGGAAAAAAATTCAAACATTTATTACAAAGATAAATAGTAAAATCTTACATTCAAGAAGTATAAAATCAGCACAACGCATTTCGGCTGGACGCCTTCATCAAGTGCATACAAGACATATTCCACTGGCCCCCTCTTTTAAACCCCACATTCGCGGCAAAAATTAATGAAACCCCGCCCACATTAATTGCGTCGCGTCACTTCCGGTGACTGGAACTTCCAGTTTGCTTGTTCCGTCTTTATTTCTCTTCCACCTTCTTGTTACAACAGGAAGTGTCTCTTCTCTACATTGTTCCATACAGATTCATTTAATCAATGTTCTTCAGACATAATGCCGGAAATATTCGGCGGCCATTTTTCTAAGTGGTAAATATGTAATATATATATAAGTGGGCAAGTGAAACATAGATAAAAATAAAAGGAAATACATATAGAATATCAGTGTTATGAATGAAATGTAAACATAGATCACAATATTAATGATATTTACAAAAGACATATATATATATATTATAAAAATAAGTGCATACCATCAACCATTATTAGAAAACTGAAGCACAATTAAATATAATTAAAAATCTCAAAATCAATATTCATTCCAAGAGGGGACAGTGTGTCTAGCTCAAAGATCCACCTCATCTCTGTTTTATTAAAAATCTTTATAAAATCACCCCCCACTCCCCCCCCCATGGTTTTTTAACCCTTTTTTGAGATTTTTAATTATATTTAATTGTGCTTCAGTTTTCTAATAATGGTTGAGGGTATGCACTTATTTTTATAATATATATATATATGTCTTTTGTAAATATCATTAATATTGTGATCTATGTTTACATTTCATTCATAACACTGATATTCTATATGTATTTATTTTTATTTTTATCTATGTTTCACTTGCCCACCTATATATTACATATTTACCACTTCGAAAATGGCCGCCGGAATACTTCCAGTATTATGATTAAAGAACATTGATTAAATGAATCTGTATGGAACACTGTAGAGAAGAGAACACCCTAATCAAGTGGGACACTTCCTGGTGTAACAAGTAGTGGAAAAGAAATAAAGACAGAACAAGTGAAACCGGAAGTTCCGGTCACCGGAAGTGACGCAACGCAATGAATGTGGGCGGGGTTTAATTAATTTTTGCTACGAATGTGGGGTTTAAAAGAGGGGGTGAGTGGAATATGTCTTGTATGCACCTGAGGAAGGCGTCCAGCCGAAATGCGTTGTGCTGATTTTATACTTCTTGAATGTAAGATTTTACTATTTATCTTTGTAATAAATGTTTGGATTTTTTTCCAAATATCCATTTTTTTGCTCTTCAATACCCATATATATGGGGGAGGAATACATCAATTGAAGGATTTGATCTATATATCCTACTCATGCCTATATACTTGAGCCAGTTTGAATTCAGGCTCATAAAAATGTGAGTAGGATACTTAACCATTTGTATATACATATTTGAGAATTGGGATATTTACCTGTACAATATTGCCCTATATGAGTTTTATTCTTTTCAGAGGCACCTGGATAAAGATCTCCTTTATAGTATGTTCTATGGTATATACATTTATTTATTCTCAACTTGTGTATAAATATTCTAGTATACACTTCTGGTTTTCTAGTGCGCTATCCACTTTATATTCTATTTTCTGCTCTATGCTTTTTTGTGAAATTGTGTGGTTGATTTCACTGTGGTTTTAGCAGCACACTGTAGCGCCATATTACCACCACATCTTCCTTTTTCTAATGATTCTACTTTTGGCCTCAATGCCCCTTTAAGAGCGTGCACGTGACACGAGCCGCGCTCCTAATGGCAGGCAGGTCGTGTAACCGCTCATTTCAGTCAGTGCACGTGGCCCGCTCAGAAGAGGAGATTGAGACGCACGCGGCTCATGTGCAATACTCTGGTAATTTGGCATCTGGTATATGTATATATAAACACAAAGCAGTATATACCAGCTATGTTTAAAATGTTTACATGTTATTTTTATGAAAACAATTTGAAATTGAAGACCTTCTGAATATCGTATCCCTTGAAGGTTATGTCTTTGGTGGTTGCATGGGCCAGCACAAGAGGGATAATGTCAGCAAATCGTTGGATTTCATGAATTACAGCATCAGTATACGGCATCTTACTCCTGTCTTCCACTGATGGGCATCGATCTAGACCTATTATATCGTCAATCTCCCGGTGGATTTTCTCTGAATTAAAAAACAAGAGGAAAAAAAGTATAAAATAAAAAATTCAAGTGTTTATTTATAATTCCTACATTTGTAAGGGTTTACCAATTTAATTTATTTTCAATGTGGATTTTCCCACTGTATATATGCGGGCTGTGGAGGTAACACTTTGTGGGCTGATGAGCATTTGGTTCCATGAACAGAGTGTTTTTTTATACATATCAGAAGCAGTGGATTTAATTGATAATCATACCTTGTATCTCTGGATACTTGAGAAGAATTAGGAATCCATATCGCAGAGTCACGCTTGAAGTCTCTGTCCCAGCAAAGAACAAATCTCTTATTGTTCCCAGTAAATTCTCCTCATGAAATTCTGTATTGCAATTATTTTTTTCCTGGAACACAGTTCAAACTTTTTGTCAAGCATTTACTTGTTTCATTATTCCTAGATTTGCACAATTCATGCATTTTATGATATTACCTCCTCCATCCTTATCAGGAAGCTGTCTATGAAGTCACGTGGGCAATCTGTGTCCAGTGTCTCTCGATGAGATTGCACCATGCCCTTCACAAACTGTCGTAGTTTGTCAAAATTGGCAAAGAATCCCTGGTGTGGACCAGGGATGTGTCTGAGCACATTTGGGAATATTTGAAGGATCTGCAAAACAATTGCATATTATGTAAACTAAGAAGAAAATGAAGGAGGAGAAAAATCTTTTATTTTTGCATTTGCTGAAGAATATATTGGGAAGATATGACATAAGAAAGGTTGTGCAATACAGTAAGTAAATTCATTTGTATTACTTTTTTAGGGTACATTCTGTTAGTTCATCTCAGTCCCCAACAATATTTTTTTAAAATCACTGATTGTCATCTGTTTTACTTTTTGATTAAACATTTGCATATCACTAACAGCAACCTGTTTTCCAATGTCCCCAATGGGACAGATATCACCTGTCCGGTCCTCGAATTCATCAGTCTGAAGATTTCTCTAATATTTGATAGAAGGGTTTTGAAATTCTCATCTTCGTAGTCAAATCTTTCTCCAAAGACCACAGTGCAGATGACATTGGACACGGCTTGTCCCAGCAGATGGACTGGGTCAAACGGAGTATCTATTATGAGAATGATGGAATTAATACCGGTACCATTTACTCTTTCACCCTTACACATTTTTACCTCCAAGTTATATTACACCTACATCGAGAGCTCTCTCTAGGACTTGTATTTCCACTCGGTCCAAAGCAGTTGTTTAGTGGAGATACCTTTTTACTATTTTTCCTGGCAGTTTGTTATTTAGGACAATCGATCTATAGCCCTTACTGTTTATAGCTGCTTTCTAAGGCTAAGGATTTTATTCCATCACTCTTCCCAAGGTAGAGCAGGGGGTTTTGCAGTTTAAAACCAGTTTTAAAAGACTGTGTCTCTTAGCCAGTAGGTTTTAGCCTTACTCTTGTACCCATTCAGTGTCTGGGTCTTTTTTCGTTAATGTACTTGTTATCGATTTTTTAAAGTGTCACAGATTTTTGATGCAATGTGTGAAATCTGTTACTTTTATTGCGACTGAACTGTCATTTTTTTTATATTTGCCTTTTTTTTTTTAGTGACACAGATTTATCAAACTTCCCAACATTTTTTCTACAGACAAGTGTTCAGTTTCACTTCTCATTTTTTAACTGCTCTGAATATGCTGGTCTTCTAAAATTGACATTTCTTAGAAAACTTGCAGTATTTTTTTTTTTAATAACTAATAATATTAGCATTTATATAGCACATAGCATGTTTCACAGCAAAAGCTTGCAATCTATCAGGAGTTGAGGTAGGTGGATATACACTGCTCAAAAAAATAAAGGGAACACAAAAATAACACATCCTAGATCTGAATGAATTAAATATTCTCCTGAAATACTTTGTTCTTTACATAGTTGAATGTGCTGACAACAAAATCACACAAAAATTAAAACATTGAAATCAAATTTTTCAACCCATGGAGGTCTGGATTTGGAGTAACACCCAAAATGAAAGTGGAAAAACACACTACAGGCTGATCCAACTTTGATGTAATGTCCTTAAAACAAGTCAAAATGAGGCTCAGTAGTGTGTGTGGCCTCCAAGTGCCTGTATGACCTCCCTACAATGCCTGTGCATGCTCCTGATGAGGTGGCAGATGGTCTCATGAGGGATCTCCTCCCAGACCTGGACTAAAGCATTTGCCAACTCCTGGACAGTCTGGGGTGCTTGTGATGTTGGTGGATAGAGCGAGACATGATGTCCCAGATGTGCTCAATTGGATTCAGGTCTGGGGAACGGGCGGGACAGTCCATAGCATCATTGCCTTCGTCTTGCAGGAACTGCTGAACTACCTCTGGTGAGCACATGGATGGCTGTGCGGTCCCCCAAAGAAATGCCACCCCACACCATTACTGACTCACTGCCAAACCGCTCAGGCTGGAGGATGTTGCAGGCAGCAGAACGTTCTACACGGCGTCTCCAGACTCCATCACGTCTGTCACATATCCTCAGTGTGAACCTGCTTTCATCTGTGAAGATCACAGGGCGCCATTGGCGAATTTGCCGATCTTGGTGTTCTCTGACAAATGCCAAACGTCCTGCACGGTGTTGAGCTGTAAGCACAACCCCCACATGTGGACATCGGGCCCTGATACCACCCTCATAGAGTCTGTTTCTGACCGTTTGAGCAGACACATGCACATTTGTGGCCTGCTGGACGTCATTTTGCAGGGCTCAGGCAGTGCTCCACCTGTTCCTCCTTGCACAAATGCGGTGGTAGCGGTTCTGCTGCTAGGTTGTTGCCCTCCAACGACCTCCTACGACCTCCTACGACCTCCTCCACATCTCCTGATGTACTAGCCTGTCTCCTGGTAGCGCCTCCATGCTCTGGACACTAAGCTGACAGACACAGCAAACCTTCTCTTCCACAGCTCGCATTGATGTGCCATCGTGGATGAGCTGCACTACCTGAGCCACTTGTGTGGGTTGTAGACTCCGTCTCATGCTACCACTAGAGTGAAAGCACCGCCAGCATTCAAAAGTGACCAAAACATCAGCCAGGAAGTATAGGAACTGAGAAGTGGTCTGTGGTCACCACCTGCAGAACCACTCCTTTATTGAGAGTGTCTTGCTAATTGCCTATGATTTCTACCTGTTGTCTATCTCATTTGCACAACAGCATGTGAAATTGATTGTCATTCAGTGTTGCTTCCTAAGTGGACAGTTTGATTTCACAGAAGTGTGATTAACTTGGAGTTACATTGTGTTGTTTAAGTGTTCCCTTTATTTTTTTGAGCAGTGTATATCATTAAGTGTCGTGCCCAAGGACACTTACTGGTAAAGTTGACTGACCAGGGTTCAAACCAGGGTAGTTGATCTTTACGGAAGCACCATTACTTAGAAAGGCATGTTCTGGGTGTGGCCCCAATTCCCCATTTTTCTATGTTTATTTGGAATCCAAATTCTTTTTGAACTGAGCACCCCACCGATCCACTATAGGTGCCCCTTTGAAGGTGACCACAGGAAAGCATACATTTAAGGAGAGACCTATTATAAACTGTAATCAGTTTAAGCAGTAAGTGCTGCAGTTAGCATCTTATTATCTAATTTTAAAATTTGTGTCAGGCCCATCGATATTGGGGTACTGTGATATAGTGGTGGGCTTAACACAATATGGCCATATGGCGGAAATGATTCCCCATATTTGTTTATTTTTGAGCTGTTTGTTTAATCTGTATTTTGTATATATTTTGGTCATTATGGCAGCACCTCTACTTATAAATGCATGTTTTTCAATTTTGCAGAACAAACATATTTACAGTGAAAATAAAAGATATAGATACACAAGGGAGTATGGCCTGTGGAGTAGGAGTTGTGGTCACTAGCAGCATGTGGTAATACCAGAGTGACTATGATGACACGCATATAAACTGCACAGAGGGCCAGCAAATTAGTATGCTGAGCAAATGGTGTGCATGCCGGTGTTCCAATCATTATAATGCAGCCTTATTTAAGCAATGTAATTTAAGTGGATTTGTGGGACAATAGCCTCTTAATGTGATTGACTGCTAAACAGGCTAGTGTAAAAGAATATCAAAATGTTAGAGTCAACTTGAGTGGGTTAGCTGGTACTCCACCACCGCAGCAAGATTCTCTTTGGGTGTTATATTGGGCACAGTTCTTGGGACACAGTGTCAGCCGAATCCCATGCTGGGCAGAATGAGAGTGGGTGCTTGAAGGCACCGGAGAGTGATGGTGAGTCGTGGGCAGAGAAAGGCCTCTGCCCAGCCCCAGGCCTCTGTAAGGTCGGCATTCATTTTCCACAGACTCAGGAGCACTGTGAGACCAGGATTCTCCCTGCATGGGCCCTGATGATCATCTGTCGCCAGCAGCGGCTGGTCTTCCGGTGTTGTGGTCGATGCCTCGGAGGGTTTGAGTAATGGGAGCAGGTTCTGCCTCATATCCCCAGTCCTCTCTGCCTCCTCTCCATGAATAATAAGTAGCTGAATAGTGCGCTGCTCCAGTTTCTCCCAAAATTGGTTAAATATTAGGTCCAGTCGCGTAAGTAAGGACAGCTTGGGTGCAGACACTGATGGTCAGTTTGTGCCAACCTTTAGCTGGGCCCAGTACAATCTGAGCCTGAGCTACAGTGGGCAGCAGGAGCCAATGGCAGTGTGTGTGCCAGGTCGGTGGGGACAGGGATAGCCCCTGCCGGTCCAAAGGGGGGGGCACGGGGGCCCAAGATGGGATCTGCAATGAGTTGTGGTGGCAGGAGAGTGGCTGTCTGCCCCATGCCGACCATGCCTCTAGACCCCAAGATTTGTCAGAGTGAAACTGATTGGAAAATCCACTTGTGTAGTAGCGTCGTGGAGGTCATGAAGTCCCCTGTCAGTTATCAGCCAAAATATGTTGAGCTGCAGCCATAACTGTGTAAAAATTGGCAAGATTTGGGTTAAAATACAGGAGCTGTTGTAACTTGCGTGTGCTCCGCTCTGCGATCTGGCCCCGCCCCCCTTCCCTGTTTTACTTCAGTGATGTTACCTCTGCTCTAACCAGGTAATATATGAGTCACACTATAAAATGAAAATATTGACAGAATGTCACTTTTCAGAATACTTTGATAAATATCTCACATTCTCCTCCTCCCTGTATGTCTCTTTATACTGACGGACAGAGTTTATAACAATGAATGTCAGGAAGGTAAAATGGCAGCGTCCAGTTACAGGATAAAGAAGGGTGTTGTGACGAAACTAACCTCTCCACTGGGCACTGGAGAAGACTAATTGCCGGCCTCTTGCCATGTGACTATGGCCCCTGGGAGACTTTGCCAGTTAAAAACACTATTTGGACTTATTGGTGTTTAAAAGACTGTTCTGGCCCTTTAATTGGAACTGGCACAATTCTGCACCTTCGATTCCCTGGGAGAATATGCCTTCTCCTGTCCCATTGTTCTCCAGCAGTGTGTTGTCCCAGGGACACTGCCAGACCAGTCTATACTGGCTGCTTTGTCCCTCCTCAATCTCTATATCAACCCTTGCTAAACTTAAACCCCATGGCGATTTGACTGTGTTCGTGGGATCTGAGTGCTGTTCGGATATATTGAGCGCTCAGATCCAAGCTATCTGGGGATAGGTTGAATCTGTTCTGTTCAGTATGATAGGAATTATGTATTTTTGTGTATTGTTGCTGTTGTGAATAGAGATGTTTTCTGTACCTGGAGATAATTGGCTTACCACACCCAAGCCATGCTTGCAGTCGGTAAAAAGGGACTTCCAGCTAACTTTTTAACCACTGAAGGGAATTGTATGATGTTTGAGCATGTTTGTATTTAGAGTATGCTGATTCTGAAAATGTAAGTTTTATGTGAATGTGATGTATACTTTTAGAGTTATGAATATTGGGTAAAACTGTGTATTTTCCTGGCTGTGATAATTACTTTAGCCCATTGTGTTCAGTAATTATATCACAGGCAGAGGGAAGGATTTTGCTGTAATGAATGGGAGTGTCAGACATTGTTGTATTGTTTTGATTGGTTTGTGTCCTTTGTAGGCCTGTGTACCATCAGGTCCAGGGGGTGTGCCTCTGGCCTGGGGAATTGTATAAATTGTGAGTGCTTGCTTCCATTAAACAGATTCCTGCTTGACCCTCAATACAGAGCCTCGTCTCGTACTTGGGGGGATTATTCGTATGGATTTCCTGTTCGGCTGTTTGAAGTGTAAACCTTTTGCATGTTTTTTCCTGTTCCGCAGTTTGGAGTGTAAACCTTTCGTATGGTTTTTCCTGTTCCGCGGATTGGTGTATTCAGTAGCTGCCTTTGCATCTGGAAAGGGAATATCTCCTAAATGGCTTTAACCCCTTTTATGCCAGTGGTGCCGTTACAGGTGTATTTCTATATTTTAGTGAATGCTACATGTAAATACCACATTTACATCTAAATAGTCTCTGCAACTCACAAAACATGTGGCTGGTCAGCTTCAATTAAATATACACAGTTAATGTAACTATTGTGTTAGCAAATGTATTGATTTAAATGATGTGCCTTTATGCAGATTTTTGTTGCTTCTCCAAGACGGGCTCTGCAAGAGAAGCTTGAGGCTGCAAGGCTCCATTTACAATACATCATTACACAACGCCAGTCTGTCTTTGGTATTTAGTGAAGCATTCTGATTTATATAGTAGAATTCAACCAAAAAAAATCCTGCTAGATATTATTAAATTATTTTTTTTTACAAAATTGTGTCACCAACCTTTGCACTTTCTAAATTCTTCTGCAAGCAGCTGAGCTTCCTCTTGAATTCTCTCCTCTAGGCTCCTCTTCCCCATTCCGAAATTCCTCAAAGTCATGAGAGAGAACCGACGCATTGTCTTCCATGTCTCTCCATTTGTCATTATAACTCCTGCAATCATAATTAAAGACAATCAAAATTGTGATTAAAATATGATATTTTTTTTAGATAGCTTTTATTAAGTTAATTACTTTTGTTTATATATTTATGAAGACTGAGGCTGTTTTGGTTTCGTTCTAAACTTTTGTGAATTTCTTAATTAATAGTCATTCTATTATTTTCATTATTTGTTCATTTCAAAGGTCACCGTTCTCGCCGTTATCTGTCCCCGTTTCACCTGTTATCTAATTAGACTTAGAAACGGACTTTAGCAAATAAAAGCCAAATCAATGACTTGTGTTCCTATTTCCAATCTTGAATTCCAGTGTTTGATCTTTTTTTGTACTAAATACACAAGTTTGTTTTTGTTGAGCGAAGAATAAATGTGACTGCAGAGTTGGATCCACAATGGACATTTTTCCCCAATTTGTAGAAAAATTGTAAATTACTTCACACTGGACTTTTCTCCTACTTTTGGATCACAAACAGTAATACAGAATTGTGAAAGGCAGAACTTGATGGACTGAAGTCTTTTTTTCAGCCCATGTAGCTATGTAAGTACATAACACTTCCTCTATTCCTATAGAATGTAACTATATGTAACCTCCCTATTAGCATGCCATGAGTACCACTGAGTCTGTAATAACTGGAATATCTAATAATAATAATAATCTATTGATAATGGTATAGGTAAATTGCCTCCATTGCACATCCTTCCACGGTAATTAACAAGTACTATTTTATATTTTTATATCACCTTGATATTGTTTTAAATCTTTTGTTTTAATTTCTGCTTAACATGATTTACAGGTAAATGCTATTTTTGATTCTTACCACTTTCCTTAAACAGAATACTAATCAAGTCTATTCTCCCTCTGTCGCTTATTGCATCGCCGTGCCCTTCCAGAGCTTCTCTTATAGTGTCACATCCGATGAGTATTACGATACGCTGACCAAGAAAATAAAGTGTGTACACGGGTCCGTACTTCTCACTCAGCTTTGGAGGGAAGCACATACAGGTTTGAGTTGTATTATTTAAGGTTTTGAAAGCAAAAGTAAAAAATAACACACAACTATAATTCAGCGCTTATGTAAGATGATTACAGTCCAATGGAAGCTCAAACAACAGGTGCGGAGTCTCTCTTGTCTGGTTAAAAGCTGGGTAAAACAGGAGGCCTGTGTAGAGCCTAAATAGTCCTTCTTTGGGGATATGTAACAAGCACAATATTATTTATTATTTATTATGCATTACACTTTATATTTACAGTGTACACTATTGTGGTTTAGTTTGTTCTTTTCCATATATATATCCACGTAAAAGATTGACTACACGTATATCCCTGAGTGAGGATCATGCCACTTCACACACTAAATTTTAAGCCAAACTTACAGCTCCATTACATGTTAGTGCACATTTTATATTTATATCTACCCCTGCTCCAAAGCTCAATACACTAAACTATACTAAGAATTTTATCTATTTTATTCCTATGAGGATACCTCCTACAACCACGATCATACGAAGAATGAGCACGCACTTTATCCTTAGGCGCATAAGTTGGAGCTGCATTGAAGCTCCATAAAAGTGTGAGTGCACATTTTGTATCTTATTTTATACTAACTATAGTTTTTATTTTTATTTTTGTAATTCTATTTTTTTAAATTCTTTATTTTTGTTGTGTATAGGATAACACAAAAATGATTGCAATGCCACGACAACATATACAAGAGCACATATTAATATAATGAACACCATGCATATACATACAGTGGAGAACATTGTGTCACTACCTCCAAACAAGGTGGATAAACAAGATTAACAATCAGGCTAGGTGAGCAAACAGGTAAATATGTCCTAGACACAAAGAAAGTGAGTCACATGACACCCCAAGGGGTGGTCTTCAAGTCAAGGCATGCTTCTCTGAGGTTAGAGATACACGTGGTCCCGTCCATGTTGGGTAATTTGGAGCAGGGTTCCTCTGCGTGGGTGACCTCATTCCTCTGTCTTGTTGGGCCCCAGTAGTCCCTTGGGTGTGGACCGGGATCCAAGGGGAGGAGGGGATACGAGGCTTTGCAGGATAGATGCCTCAGAGCACTCCCTTGTACGTTGCACACCAGGCCACATTAGTTATGGTGAGGTAGGCAAGCTCCCATAACTTGCTAATCACTGCTTGGCTTGTCAGGTAGGTTAGGAAGCTAACCCCTCTTGCAGTTTGGCTGGATCGAACCAGAGAGACAGATAAAACAGCAGGTTTTTTCAGGATACTGGAGGAGCTCTTTCCAGATGCATGACAGCTAGGCCCTGCCCCTAACTATAGTTTTAATATACTACACTATTAGTTCCTTCTGTTTTTTTCTTTTTGTCGTTACATATCCCCAAATAAGGACTATTTAGGCGCTACACATACCTCCTGTCTTACCCAAAAGTAAAAAAATTGTCTGCAAAGAAAACCAAAACTAGCACATCCCAAAATGAACTCCATAAATCTAGATGTGTTTGCAATCCTTTGTAAATTGCTGCACATATATAATCGATATATATTGCATAATATTACATAATGTATACACTTTTCATTTTTTTATTCTGTCATAATGTTGGTATATACATAATCTGTCATAATGTTGGTATATAAATAATCTGATTTTGAATGCTCAGATATTTATTTTATCCATATTAAACTTGGAGAATCATTTTGTTACAAACTGCAATTTGTCCAAATTTGGGCTAATCGGGTGATCGTCCAAATTCCCAATTTCCAAACCTTCAAATGGACTCATGAAACAAGCGACTTAGGCAGTGGACAAGCATCTTCATTTAATTTGTCGTTCAGAGTTCCATCCGTGGCACTAAAAAAAAAATGATTGATGGGGGAAAAAAAGTGAGGATTAGGGGACAGTCTAAATTAATGATTTTATTCCCAGATCAAGTGAAAAGTGATCAATAAAGGGAAAAAATTGTAGAGGAAAAAAATTAATAAATCTAGATTTATAACATATTTAATAACTTTATATAAATATAGTTTAATTTGCCTTCTGTTCTTTTTCCTTATATTAATTATTTTTTCTCACTTGATCTGTGAACGAAAAAGCGGAAAAATTTGCCTGCAAAATATACACACAATTATAATATGTATATAATTTGCAGTAGACTGATTAGCCAATTTTTTGGGCCCTTTTGGCTTGTCTGATTTGTTTTTTTCAAATCTTTTGCAGTAGATGTAATTCTAATGTGGCAAACCACCATATGCACGGATTTCAACTATCTTGAAAATATTTTTATTTATGGATGAAGTCATTCCGCCGACAATAGATTTTCCACCGTGTACAAGTCTTTTTAATATCTGATATATTAATAGCTAATCAGAGTTTCCTTCCAGTGCACGCTTTTTTTTCACAAGAGCCCCAGGGCTGAATAACAAACTTTAATTCCATAAATCTAAGAATTTCATGAACTAGATCCGCTAGATCGGTCCTTTACCTCTGTAAACCTTCAGTATGTCTCTCTGTCACGCTCATTCTTTCCTTCTGTGTTTTTAGACCAGGATTATATTACACATGAAAAATGCATGACTTGCCCCATTCCTAATATGTGAAGTGCTAACCAGCTACCGTTAAAAATAATCATAAGATTGAAATGGTTATTAAACAAAATTGCCTTAATGATTTTTCCACGTTGCTTTTCTTATTTGAACTTTAACATCAATATACAAAATATGAATGTTCAAGTAAAAGATAGCAACATAGAATGTGACGGCAGATAAGAACCATTGGGCCCATCTAGTCTGCCCAAATTTCTAAATACTTTCATTGGTCCCTGGCCTTATCTTATAGTTAGGATAGCCTTATGTCTATCCCACGCATGCTTAAACTCCTTTACTGTGTTAACCTCTACCACTTCAGCTGGAAGGCTATTCCATGCATCCACTACCCTCTCAGTAAAGTAATACTTCCTGATATTATTTTTAAACCTTTTAAACCTTTGCCCCTCTAATTTAAGACGATGTCCTCTTGTTGTGGTAATTTTTCTTCTTATAAATATAGTCTCCTCCTTTACTGTGTTGATTCCCTTTATGTATTTAAATGGTTCTATCATATCCCCCCGTCTCGTCTTTCCTCCAAGCTATACATGTTAAGATCCTTTAACCTTTCCTGGTAAGTTTTATCCTGTAATCCATGAACCAGTTTAGTAGCCCTTCTCTGAACCCTCTCTAAGGTATCAATATCCTTCTGAAGATACGGTCTCCAGTACTGTGTACAATACTCCAAGTGAGGTCTCACCAGTGTTCTGTACAATGGCACGAGCACTTCCCTCTTTCTACTGCTAATACCTCTCCCTATACAACCAAGCATTCTGCTAGCATTTCCTGCTGCTCTATTACATTATCTGCCTACCTTTAAGTCATCAGAAATAATTTCCCCTAAATCCCTTTCCTCAGATGTTGAGGTTAGGACTCTATCAAATATTCACTGGATCGCAGTGTGTCTATAATAAGATCAATCAACTCATCTGATTTGTTAGTCTTTACCACCTCTACTGGAAGGCTATTCCATGCATTCACATCTCTTGTTGTAGGCTGATACCCATTCTCACCTGGAGCATAGAGCGAGGAGCTTCTGAAGGGTTAAGATCCAACATATTGCCCAACAAGGGAAGTGGTGTGGGTCCCGGGGGCAAGTTCCCTTGTTTCTTTTTGTCTCTCCATATTACAAGGTAAAATAGGAGAGTTATAAAGGAGACGAGAAGTAATGTTCCTGTGAGTCCCAGATCCATTGCAGCAACAATAAATGTACAGGCAATTCTCTTCCTCCACGTGATTCTGAAAGGGGTTGTCCTCAGTATGGTAACCCTTGAAACTTGGCAGCTGTAAGCGGTTTTAATGTTTACAGAAATGCTTTGTGTGAGAACTGCAGTGAGATACCCACCTATTGGTTGATTAGAGAAATACATGAAATGTGATTTTTTTTCTGTCTATACATTTAAGCCTATCTAGTGAAAGGATCTGTAATATGAGGACTTTTTGCCATACACAGATACAGACACAGTGCAGACATACAACATACAGACAGGACATAGAGAGGAGAAGGCTGCAATATATGTAAGGGACCCAAAACACACAGACCCTAATATAAAACAGACAGTGCTGTAGTCCATATTGCCAGATATTACAGAGGTTTAATGTAAGAATGGCTATTGAGGTAGTCAAGGTCAGGTATAGGACAAATTAGAGTAAACGGTCAACAAACCTTGATTAAGGAATACAGAGAACAATATAATTGATACTCGTTTTCCTGGCACTCTAGTGCCCTGGGGGTGCACCCACCCTCAGGGTCCCACTCCCGTGGCACTGAAGGGGGAGAAAGTGATTAATCACTTCCCTTTTCCCCCCGCCGGGCTCCCTCGGCGCTGGGACTCTCCTCCCTCTTCTTCCGTCATCGGCTGAATGCGCATGTGTGGCAAGAGCCACGCGCGCATTCAGCCAGTCCATAGGAAAGCATTTGTCCTTTGTCCTTCCCCCGGTCCCCACCCCTGAGTGGTTGTCCTTCCCCCGGCCCCCACCCCTGAGTGGTGGGTGGGGGCCATAAACATAATGGGGGTGGGGCCTTGCCCTGCCCTGCAATTAGGCTTAGAACACTCTGATTGGTTGGTTTAAGCCAATCAGAGTGCTATTTGTCATTTTACACAGCGTGGGAAAATTCCAAAGAACTTTCCCACGCTGTGTAAAATGACACAGAGCACTGGGATTGGATGGATTTCAAGCCAACCAATCAGAGTGTTCTGTGTCATTTTACACAGCGTGGGAAAGTTCTTTGGATTTTTCCCATGCTGTGTAAAATGACAAAGAGCACTCTGATTGGCTTAAACCAACCAATCAGAGTGTTCTTAGCGTAACTTCAGGGCGTGCAGAGCCCTACATGGGTGAACAAGGATTATTTTGTTTGCGCTCAGGTTTTTTCTTTTTCTTTTTTTTTTTGCGCTCTAGTTTTTTTTTTAATTTTAAGTTCGACGGGTATGATGGTTTTTTATTTGGCCTTTTTTGGGGCTGAAAAATTAAGATTTTAGAAAAAAGAAGACGTCAAATGATAAGATTAATTTCTCTTTACAGGTTAGTTATTTTATTCCCCCCTCACTATTTTTTAGGGTGAGGGGGTAGATAGGGGGTAACTTTTTATTTGGGTGGGGGGGTGGGTGACTAGGGGTCTTAGTCACCTTTGATGGGGGGAAATTTGTCTTAGGGCCCCCACCTGCCACCCAGGGGTGGGGTCCGGGGGGGAGGACAGTAGGTTCCCCCCTCATTATCTTTATGGCCCTCACCCGCTGCCCAGGGGTGGGGGCCGGTGGGGGGAGGACAGTAGGTCCCCCCTTCATTATCTTTATGGCCCCCACCCGCCGCACAGGGGTGGGGTGGGGGGGAGGACAGTAGGTCCCCCCCTCATTATCTTTATGGCCCCCACCCGCTGCACCGGGGTGGGGGCCGGGGGAAGGACAGCAGGTCCCCCCTCATTATCTTTATGGCCACCACCCGCCGCCCATGGGTGGGGGCCGGGGGAAGGACAGTAGGTCTTCCCCTCATTATCTTTATGGCCACCACCCAATACCCTAATATAAAACAGTCAGTTATGTAGTCCATATTGCCTTAGACAGGCTTAATGTATGAATTTTAAATAAAAAACCACAAGAAAAGTGTCAAGTCTCTTCTAAAAATAAGTATCTTGTGTGTAATACAGGTACAAAGTGTCCCCCAGCACTCAGAAATACAGTAATAAATTCAAAGCACCAATAAAACACCACAATATCTCCCACTACAAAGATATACTTTGAGAGCTGAACAGCAAGATTCCTTAGAATACATATGAATACATGATGCAGAGCAGTACCAGGCTCTGTATGTGAAGCCCAAAGGTGACTGTACAGGCTAAACATAGTAGTAATGTAGTAATAGCTGTTCCAAAAATTATCCAGTTTAATAATACATTTTTTATTGAAAGTATAGATAAAAATATATTTCCATAAAAAATTAATATACCAGAAATTGACAAGGATATATAGCAAACATATGCAGTGTCTAAATTAAAAATAAGGGTTATATCCTAAAGTGCATAAAAGGCTCACCGATGGCAAACCTATCTACCCACAACTATTAGTATAACCGTATTACCCTCAGAAGATCAAATAATAAAATCTATAGATAAATACGTCTGCGTTTTGTAAGCACAGGCAAGGGCAATAGGAGACCGGTAGATTGTTTAGTGGAGTTCTTAGATTGAACACAAACAGGACATGCTTTCATAAAATCTGTGACATGTTTCAGAGGAGACCACCAAAAAGAGGTGCGTATATTGTTGTATCTTTTTCATACCCAATTGACCTGCTACTTTGGTGGAATGTAAGGGTCTCTTTCCAGTCTCTTTCTAATACAAAAAACCTTGAATCTCTGGAGGGGCCTGTACCTGATAGTCTGGATATTCTCAAAGATATGAGAAGAAATATTATGGTGGGTTGCATTGCATTCAGAAAGAACTATAGAAATTGTTAAAGCATCGGCTCTTGCGTTACGGTAACCTCATCTGTTGGTGATCATATAATTATAATGTGACAGAAAAAGAGCCCAGCAGGCTTGTTTAGAAGATACACGTTTAGCATCAGCTCTATATGACAAGTTCTTATGGTTCATTATAACCAAGACAGAATTTCTAGTACCTTCTAAGAGGTGTCTCAATTCATTAAATGCACAGACAGTAACTATTAGTTCTCTGTTGCCTATGTCAAAATTATTTTCAGACTCAGAAAATTGTTTTAGAATAGAAACAGTATGGATGTAGCGGTTGATCAGGAGCAGTTATTTGTGACCATGCCACTCTAATGCCAAATTCCAAAGCAACAACCTCCAAGTTTAATGATTTGGTAATCTCAGGATGGATAAACAAATGTGCAGTAGAGAAGGCTGACTTAAGAATTTCTATTGCGGCTAAGGTTTCGGGAGTCCAAGCAAAGGGATTAAATCACTTTTTTATACTGTTTGTAAGGGGGGATATGATGGAAGAGAAATTGAGTATGAACTTCCTGTACTAGTTGCCAAATACAATGAAGCAGTGAATAGCCTTCATACCTTGAGGCAGGTGCCACGTTAGAATGGCTTCCAACTTGGAAAGATCCATATTAAACACTGATTCAGAAATTATATAACTCAGAGCCTGTATGCTGGATTGGTGGAATAAACATTTATCCGATTTGCAGAACCAGCCGTTTTGTAGCAGTTTTGACAATATCATTCTGACATATTTGTAGTGTGAGTATAGATTTAGTGAATGTATAAGAATGTCGTCTAGATAAACAACAACACATAGAGATAGCAGATTACGTAATTTATATTGTTGATAAGATCTTGGAAGACGGTTGGAGCATTACATAGACCAAAGGTCTAAACAAAGATGTAACCAAGTTATATATTCCTCTAAGATTTAATATAGTAAATAAATTGAACCCCTTAACAACTTGTGATTAGGGGAATAGAGAAATTATTTTGGACAGTGATACAATTCAGTTCCCTATAATCAATACATGGACTCAAATCACTTTCTTTTTTAGAAATGAAGACGAACCCTGAACCAGCAGGCGACGGGGACTTTTAACAAAGGACTCTTGGACAGATTCCTCCATGACCATATTTTCTCCTTTTCTGATAGTGGATAAACCCTTCAATTAGGTGGCTTAGTACAAGGAAGAAGATCAATCACACAATAATAAGGGTGATGAGGCATAAATTTGTCCAGTTCCATTTTATCAAGCGCCTCACTAAGTTCACAGTAATGTAAACAGGACCTATCTGTGCTTCTACTCATCCCCTGGACACTATATCCTTGGTGTGGATAGATACCACCTACACTTCTAGGATTGAGCAAACCACATTTGGTTCACAGCTGTATTCATTGAGCAGTTAGTCTTTTCAATCAAATGTGAGTAACCAGTTGGTATTTTATTTTCTCACCTCTGGCATTTTATACTTTGAGCACTATTTCTGTCCCCCTTTTTTATTTTCACATATGGTTCCCTAATCAAGCAAGAATACAAAGACCTCACGTATCCTATACGTGGGGATTGTCCCACTGTACGCTATCAAAACTAGAGCTAGGTTTATAGCTCTAAAAGACGTGAGTATGACCATATACTCTTTACATTGCTTTTACCCCTATTGGGACATACTACACCATCAGTTGTTGTTTTTATCTATTTCATATGAATTACAAAGAAGCATCTATACCACTCTGAAGAATATCCCCATTACCAAAGACTGTACCCCCTCCCACAAAGTAACACCTCGGTGTTGGATTCATTTACCACTCAGACAACCTACCCTGGACTTTTACGTTCATCTCTTACTGTATATTCATTGTTTATTTTGTCTGTTACATGCTTTAATTTATCTTATTTGTTTTTTTATTTGTATAATTTCTGTTGTAGGGCCTGTGAGTGAGCCCTATTTTTAGGTGTGCTGCCACATTTTATATTCTCTGTTGTGTATTTGTGTAGATAAAGAGCGCTGATCCCTTTCTTAATTTTCCATTACATACACAAACAGACAGACACACAAACACATACACCCATACATACAAACAAAAATACACATACAAAATGTCACCTTTTACCTTTTAGGTGCAGGAGGGTGACTTTCCCTGGGGTCCAGTGGGGGCTCGACCTGGTGGGAGTCAGAGTTTACACTCCGACTCCAGGCCCGGACTGGCCATCGGGCACACCGGGCAAATGCCCGGTGGGCCGCGGTGTCCGTGGGGCCGAGGCCGGCAGGGGAGATCCCAGGATCTCCCCTGCCGGTCTATGCAGGGCCGGCACTATCCGAGCGCCGGCCCCGCTGTTTTCCATGGAGGGCCGGTGGGGAGATCAAAGCTCTCCCTCACCGGCCCACATGCTCTCAAACGCGGCCACTGGCGGGGAGAGAGGGAGGGAGACAGCCGCCAGGAAAGAGGACCCGGCGGAGCTCTAACTTGCAGCTCCGCCGGGTTTCTCTCGCGAGATCCGGACCGTTGCTATGGCAACCGGCCGGGTCTCGCGAGAGTGAACTCTAGCCCCAAAGGACTAGAGTTCACTTACCACGAGGACCACCAGGGATGGCTGGCAGGAGCACGATTCCCCCCCCCCCCTTCCAGACTACAGGTAAGAATAGAGGGGGGGTTAATATAATGTATTTATTATTATTATTATTATGTATTTATTATTATTATTATTGTTATTTATTATGTATTTATTATTATTATTATTATTATTATTATGTATTTATTATGATGTATTTATTATTATTAATTATTATTTGTATTTATTATTTATTATTATATTATTATGTATTTATTATTATTATTTATTATTATGTATTTATTATTTATTATGTATTTATTATTATTATGTATTTATTATTATTATGTATTTATTATTATTATTATTGTTATTTATTATGTATTTATTATTATTATTATTATTTATTATTATGTATTTATTATGTTATTTATTATTTATTATGTATTTATTATTATTTGTATTTATTATTATGTATTTATTATTATTATTATTATTATGTATTTATTATTATTATTATGTATTTTTATTATTATGTATTTATTATTATTATTATTTATTATTATGTATTTATTATTATTATTATTATGTATTTTTATTATTATGTATTTATTATTATTATTTATTATTATGTATTTATTATTATTATTATGTATTTATTATTATTATGTATTTATTATTTATTATGTATTTATTATTATTATTTATTATTATTATGTATTTATTATTATGTATTTATTAATTATGTATTTATTATTATTATTATATTTTTTTAGTAAAACATTAATAGTGCCATTTACCTGCCTCCCCAATACAAAATCCTTGCAAACACACACATCACCCTCACCCAGCACCCTAACATTGACACAGCACCCCAACACACACACACAGGACCCTAACACCAGCACCCTAACACACACACAGCACCCTAACATTGACACAGCACCCTAACACACACACAGCACCATAGCACTCACACAGCACCCTAACACCAGCACCCCAACACACACACAGCACCCTAACACCAGCACCCTAACATTGACACAGCACCCCAACACCAGCACCCTAACATTGACACAGCACCCCAACAACAGCACCCTAACATTGACACAGCACCCCAACACACACACAGCACCCTAACACCAGCACCCTAACACTGACACAGCACCCTAACACCAGCACCCTAACATTGACACAGCACCCTAACACACACACAGCACCCTAACACCAGCACCCTAACATTGACGCAGCACCCTTACACACACACAGCACCCTAACACTCACACAGCACCCTAACACCAGCACCCTTACACACACACACAGCCCCCTAACACCAGCACCCTAACACACACACAGCACCCTAGCACTCACACAGCTCCCTAACACCAGCACCCTAGCACCCGCACCCTAGCACCCCAACACACACACATCACCCCAACACACACACATCACCCCAACAAGCACAGCACCCCAACACACACACAGCACCCCAACACACATCACCCTCAAATACACAGAACCCTCGCTCAGTGCCCTAACACACAGCGCCCTCACACCCACATACTGCACCCCCCACACACACCACCCTCCCACATACACACTATACTCCTCACAAATGCACACTACACCCCCCAAACACACTGCACCACTCACACACTCACTAGATCTCCTATACGCACTCCTGAGTCCTTCAAACACACACTAGATCCCCTACACACAGACGCTGCACCACTTACACACACACTACATTTCTGACATACACACTCAGAATCCCCTATAAACACTCTAGATACCCTTTAAGCAAAGTGAGTATTAAAATACAGTGAGTATTCCATTTTAGCAAACCCCTGAGACAAGTTTCAAGCAAACACAATGCAAGCATGTTATTAAATTTGCTTGCGCTGTGCAGATCAAATACAGGGCCCTTTTCTCATGCCCTGGAAGAGCATTGAACCAACATGCTCACTTTGAGATGGGGCGTGCTTGTCATTGGGGATGACAAAACACACCCTATCTGGCCCCGCCCCCTTTTCAGTGGGCCGCTGTAATTAAAAATGCCCGGGCCGAATTTTTTCCCCAGTCCGGCCCTGTCCGACTCCCTCTTCTTCCTCCCGTGCGGGCTCTGTCTGACAGCTGGGAGGAGTGATGGGCAGTCACTTCCTCCCAGCTGTGATATCATCACAGGGGGCCCGGTTGTGCTGTTAAAGCACCACAGCGCTGACCGGGGCCCAATCGAAATTCATCTCTATCAGGTGGCCCTAACAGTATGGGCCACCTGATGGGCCCCTTGAACATGGTGGCAGGCACCCGGTCGCAGGCTAACCAGCTGCATTTAATAAAAATAATAAGAAAAAAGTGTGAAAAAAGCTGCCACATCTCTTTTCTCTTTTGAGCTATATATACAAAATATAGTAAAATCAAAAAAGCGCAAAGAAAATCTAAGATAGTAAAACAGAAATATATAATAAGGTGAAAGCTGCTAAACACATGAAAGGTGATTCCTGTCATGTGTCAAAGACCTTTAAAAACGAGCAATGGAGAAAGTGTCAGCGCTTCAAAAGTCTGCCCCTGATTCTTATAGAAAAGGGGAATAAATATAACAGTATTAGAATTCTTTACATTAAAGTCTTTATCCATCTCCACAGTGGTGGATATGCAGTAACCAGATTAGTAACCGTATTTCTGGTGTTGTAGTCAGAAATTAAATGGTGTTGTGTATCCACACCTCGGTATTATGTCTTTAAGAAGGATACTTCAAGCAGGATAAAATCAAACACGGTTTATTTGGCAAATAATTAAAAAGAACCTAATCAAAAGTAAGAGAAGTGGTATAAAATATAGTAATAACCATTAGTAAGTCCAGTACATGCAGTTAAGCAGTGAGTGGGTGATACGGTTTTACCCTTCCGATGGAGCAGCTGAATCAATGTAAAGTCCTTTCTTCAAGTCGCCACAGTAGTGATAAAACCGGAGGGACGCCGTTAATTCACACGGCTGAAAGATATTGCTGTTACTGGAGAAGTGAAGATGAATGGAAGCTTGATCCTCAGCTCATCAACGCGTTTCGCCTGTACTTGGCAGGCTTTTTCAAGATCTTTTCAAGCACTGACACTTTCTCCAATAATATAAAACATATAATTGTACAATTATGATAGTGATAAAAAAAGTACAACCTCAATTTAAAGGGACACTTTAATCAGCAGAACAACTAAAACATATTGTATTTGTTCTGGTGAGTATAATCATTACCTTAAGGCATTTTCATGCACACACTTCCTTTTCAGAGAAAATTTTGCATTGTCCCCTAGGGACAACCTCAGTGGCTTTTTTTTAAAATGGCTTTTAGACGTTCTTCCTGGGTCAGTGCTGCACAGCAGGCAGCACTGCCATTCAGCGTCTCCATGCTTTGGATTGATTAAATGCATCTCCGTAATTCTCCTTTCTCATAGGGAAAGCCTTTGATTGGCTAAAAATCGTAAATTATGATGATGTCACCAAGGAGTCAGATCAGGAGTGGGGCAGGTGCCGGAGGACTCGCGCGGCACTGGAAATAAAGTGAGTTTAAACTCTTCTAAGGGAACTGGGGGGAGAGGGAGCAAGCCGCCTAGCCACCTAATTGGTGGTTTTAACACTATAGGATCAGGAATACATGTTTGTGTTCTGGACCCTGTAGTGTTCCTTTAATTATTTTGGATAAACTTTTCACATGATTAAAGTCTGTTAGAAAACTTTCAAATGATTCATCTACAAACATTCCCATTTTTGTAACAGATTAATTGATCATCCAAAATAATTAAGTAAAGTCTTGTGTTGGTTAATAGTGTTCCACAATTTGTATTCTAGATGTACTCATTAGACATTAAATGTAGGTAAGGTAATTTATACACATGATATGTACTGCATCTGGCATCTGGATATATTACATTGGAGCTGACAGACAGACTGAACAAACATTCTTGCAATAATGGTTATTAATTATAACAACAAAGCTCTAGCTCATTAGTGATAAATAGTTATAACACATGGTCAATGATTTGACTTTGACACAATTAATTATTCCTTTACTGTTATTTAGAATTCAGATACAGAAAAGAAAAACATCTATTTTCAGGGTTAATTATATAAGAACAACACCCCCGACATCTTGCTGCACTAACTGGTCTGGCTTCCAAAGTATTCCCAAAGAAAAATAAAGACTAGCTGAGGATTTATCCAGATCTATCCAAATATTTAGGCGTTCCAACGAGACACGGCATACATCTGGTAGATCCGAGGTCCCGAAGAATTGGTGTTTGGCTCTGGGGTGATATCAATGTCTTCATTATCCACTGTTGGCTTCAGGGTGAAATTTTGTAAGATAGTAGTGAAGAAGAGGAATATCTCCATACGAGCCAGACGCTCCCCAGCACAAATACGTTTACCTGCACAGGAGGACAATAGACATAATTACATAAGACTATATGGTCGTTGGAGGGCATCTCTCCATCTCTACAAACATCCATAGGACATCATTATTTTTACTCATGAATAAATTGTAAATACCTGTAGAGAATGGCATGAAGGCATCATTCTTCTTAAAGCAGCCATTCTCATCCAGAAAATGACCAGGGTCAAACTGATGAGGGTTTTTAAAATATTTAGGATCATTCAGGACAGATGTTAGAATTGGTAAAACCACAGTGCCCTGAAATAGTGCAAATGAAGTGTCAAAAAGACTCCTCTAGGTCAAGTACCACAAGTGAAAGAAAGACAATAAAAGTGAAACACTGCTTGGTTAACATAAGGTATACAAGAGACATTTTATAGGTCAGACTTTTCTAGATCCAAAGAGCATCCATTAGAGTATTGATATGAATGATAGGTTCCTTTACTTGTCTGAATGACACTAATCTGTTTAATGGTCACTCTATCGTATGCCAAAATAGCAAAAGTTAATGTGGCGAAAGTAACCGCTGCACTGGGTTTTGGAGAGGCCTGCTTGCCAGCTTCTTGCCCTGTGACTATGGCCCCTGGGGTATATTGCCTTCTAAAAACACTATTTGTGTATATTGGGACTTAGCACAATTCCCCTTTCAAACATGTGGCGGCGGCCATCTTAAATTGTCCAGCAGTGTTTTGTCGTCGAGCGTATGGAACTGTTTTGGACATGGGACCATGTGCACGGTGGGGCAAAAATAAGACTTCCAGGAAATTCCTGAACCGATCTGGGTGATTTTTGTATATGTTGTTTACCCAGATCGGGGCTATCAGGGGACTTTTTTGGGGATATGTTGTATTTCGAGGTACTTTTTGGAGTTTGTAAAAATTTATGTTTTCTCTGCTTAGAGTTAATTGAGTTAGTCCGTTGTCTTTGTTAATTGTATCACAGACAGAGGGGAGGGTTTGTGTACATTATCTGGGAGTGTTTAACTGTACAATACTGTTTTGATTGGTTTTGTGACTTTGTGTCCGGTGCTCCTCAAGATCCACGTGGGTGGTACCTTGTGGGGAAAACTGTATAAAAGACAATAAACCCTCAGATCTGCTGAGTTCCTGTTTTACCCTCAACATAGAGCCTTGTCTCATGTGTCACGAAAAAGACTGCATCTACACTGGGGATTGCTTTACGCTGTATACTCCCCTGGCTATAATCACTAAACTCTTTTAAGAGCTTGTTCCTGCTACGCTCTCTGGAGTAGGAGAGGTGTACCCACTGGGAGCTGAAGCCGTGTTGTAGGTCCAGGGTGGGTAGGAGATGGTGAGACCCCAACCAAGCTGCAGCGGTTTGTGGGGTCTGCGGTGCTTATGGTGTCTGGTGCGGTGCTGATGGTCCTTGGTAAGCACTAGGAGCATCAATTGACAGAGGGTCCATCACAGATAAAGGGACTGGGCTTTCAAAGTATGGCTATGTATATTACAGCATAATTTCCTCATTGTATTAACCTTATAAATGTTGTAACCTTTGAAGATTATATCTGTGGTAGTTGCACGGGGCAACCCAGTAGGCACAATATCACAAAATCTCTGAATTTCATGGACCACAGCATCCGTATAAGGCATTTTACTTCTGTCATCCATTGAAGGGCAATGATTTTGACCAATTACATGATCGATCTCCTTGTGGATTTTATCTGAAACAAATATACAAAATGTAACATATCATGCAATACGGTGCGGGAAGAGTTCCTTTAATAGATTGATAATCATACCTTGTATCTCTGGATACTTAAGAAGAATTAGGAATCCATATCGCAGTGTCAGGCTTGAAGTTTCTGTCCCAGCAAAGAACAAATCTCTTATCGTTCCCAATAAATTATCCTCATGAAATTCCGTTTTAGGATTATTCTTTTCCTGGAAAACAATTTTAAAGTTTCCTTAGACATCTAGTTGTAGTACTATTTCTAGATATGCACAATTAATTTCTTAAATGATATGATACTACCTCCTCCATCCTTATCAGGAAGCTGTCTATGAAGTCACGTGGGCAGTTTGCGTCCAGTGTCTTTCGGTGAGATTGCACCATGTCCTTCACAAACTGCCGAAGTTTCTCAAAATGTATAAAAACTCTCTGGTGCGGACCAGGAATGTGGCTGAGTGCATTTGGAAACATCTGAAGAAGCTATAGAAGAATTGTATAAGGTTATAGAAATGAGCCAAAAACACATAAGCCAGTTTTAAAAAAAAAAAATCCTATGAAGTACACACATAAATTATTCTAACATTATTTTCACCATTTACTGTTAACAGAGTTTAACACAGAGCACAATTGTAAGATTTTTAGTTTTATTTGCATTTTTTGATCCATTAGCAAAGTATTATTTATTTTTGGGATGGGTTTATCACATTACAAGTTTTATATACTTCAAAGTTCAGTTTTCAAAATGTGATAATGGCTGAAATTAATTATTATATAATTTTAGTATTTTAAAGGGACACTCTACTGTCAAAATACAAAATAAATAAAAATCACTGTTTAGTAGATAAAACCCAAATGAAAAATTGCACGCATTTAATTATGCATGTTTTCATTTGGGGGTATATCCAAAAACAGCTTGCAAAAACTGAAGATCTCATGTCTGCAGCATTCACAAGCCCTCCCCTTCTAACCCCGCCCAGACTTTCTGTGGCTGTCCAATCCCAGACTTCCCAATGCAGAGCAATGAGAAGTCTTTACAACGCAGGTGCACTGAGCAATTGCTGCCTCTTCAGTTTGGGTCCAGTGAGCCTAATATACTACGAAGTACCAGAACAAATTATCTAATTGAAAGCCAAGGGAGTGTAACCAGGTTACAATTTCCCTGAAACTTTTTCAGAATTTAGATCCTTTCTGCAAACATAGCTCTGTTTCTGATATAAATGGTAAGGTGCTGGTATCAGATTGTAATTAATTTGAATCTATCACACAGAGAAAAGTCTGAAAATTCCTATATTAGCTTTGTATATTGGAATTATATTTTCACATCTGTTCTCTATATTAATGTTTGAATTTTTCTCCGTCAGACTGTTCTTTCAAAACTAATTCAGAGGTAAGTGGCTGCTGTGGAAGCAAAATATAAATATTTTCATTGAAGAAATAAAACATTTTCTTGTGGGAATGACTGAACCTACCGAAATTTAGTTTCATGCCAAAGTTGAACAAAGCAAACCAAAATTCTATAAATTACAATAATTAATACATTTTTCACTTAAATGTAAAAAGATTGAAGGCAAGAAGAATTAAGATATTTTCTCGGGAATTGTCATAGTAATTGAAAGATGCTAATTTTCACATGTTTAACGTTTTTTGTTGATATTGAAACAAATAGGTGCATCGACTACTATTTGAGCCATTTTATTCCATATACCAGCTGTTAACCTCCTCACCTGGCCAGACCTTGAATTTAAATCTTTGAGGATATCTCTAAAGTTCAATAGAAGACTTTTAAAATGTTCATCTTCATAATCAAATCTCTCACCAAATACAACTGAGCAAATGACATTGGATACGGCTTGTCCCAGCAAATCAGTTGGATCAAAGGGAGCATCTGCATAGCAAAAAATATAATTAGAATAAACACAAGCTGTATGACTTAGAAAACTCGGATTGGTGAATTAGATGATATTGATTTACAATGTAATGTCTTGTAATGTACTATTGGGCAGGATTTGGCCAGCAAGATTAAGCCTAGGTGACACAACCTGAAAATGACTCCTTAAAATAATTTTGTGATCCCCATATACCTTCTGGAAATAGAGTCATTAATTGAGACTTCTAGTTCTCATTAGTAACAGTTTTGTTGGAAATCACATAAAAGTTGGAAAAATTTGGTTTTCCAAAAATATAATTTTCTGCCCACCCTTCCTAAACCCTTCCTGTGAAGAGTCATCTAAACATTGAAACTTATTTTATTGCACAGTCTGTTTACATGAGGATGTCTTAGTTTCTGCTCAATAAATAGTTTGCTAGACCCTGCAGGAGCCTCGTGTTTGTGATCAAAGTTCAATTTACAGAGCAGGAAATAAAAAACCTTTAAAGGAAGTTAGATCTGATTGAAAATTAAACATTTTGTTTTCATGCAGGCTGTGTCAGTCACAGCCAGAGGTGGTGTGGCTAAGGCTACATAAACAAAAACAAAAGTTATTTAACTACTAAATGGCAGATAATTAAGTAGTGAAACTTCAGGGGCATGCTTTATACACTAAAACTGCTTCATTAAGCTAAAGTATTTTTGGTGACTACAATGTCCCATTAACTATATTTAACTATATATTTTAGTACCCTATTAGGCCCATTTTCATTTGATTCACAGATCAAGTGAGAAAAAGTAACAAATAGAGGGAATAGAGGGGATGCAGTCAAATTCTGTTTATGTAAATATTAAATATATATTGTAATAAAGTTGTGTTCTGTGTGTTTTCTAGATTGATTGAAATACGTCATGCATTTATCTTCTTCTTTCTTCTTGTTGGGGGGCTCGCCATGTTATATAGATATAATACATCTATGTTATCTATATTCTTTATGTGTGCCAGTTACAAACATCAATACGCATCGGACTTACGGTTTCTTCAGGTTTCTTCTTACAGTTTAACCTTTTTGAATCATTATTTCATTTCTATCATATTTATTCCATTAGACTGACTTCGCTTAGGGTGTTTTTTTGGAGTTTAATGTCATGGCGAGGATCCCTATCGATAATAATTATATGTGATGGTATATACATGCATTTAGTCTGCTGTCCCCATTATCTAACCCCGGATCACTGCGTATTCTATATTAAATAATGTAGATTTAGTCGCTGTTACTGAGACATGGTATAATGAGAAAATGACTGGGACATAGCAATCCCAGGGTACTCTTTATATAGAAAAGACAGGGAAGGCAAGATAGAGGGAGGATGTGAAGGATAGCATAAAATCTAGCCTAATAAAAGTTAGTGAGGCGAACATAGAGTCCGTTTGGGTTACATTAGAATTCGGTAATCACACAGTAACTCATGTAGGTGTGATTTATAGGCCCCCAGGACAAATAGAAGGGTTAGATAATCTACTAGTTGAGGAAATAGCTAAAATGACAATAAAGGGGGACGTTATCATCATGGGTGACTTTAATCTTCCTGATGTGAATTGGAAAACCAAAATAGCTGCTTGTTCCAGGAGCACACATATTCTAAACTCCCTACTGAGATTGTCTCTAAAACTGTAGCGGTACTTACCTTATCCGGGGGCCGGCCGAGGTCCTCAGTTCCCGCCGCGCGCGGCACGCTCGGGGCTCGGATGACGCGGGGTGCGGTCACGTGTCCCGCTTAGCTCCAAGAGCGCGCCACGCTTCTCGGGCACACTCTTAAAGGGGAAGTGGGAGCTGAAAATTAAAACGGTCTCCCATTGGCCCCTCTCATCCCACATTCCCCATACACTCACATTTTGGGGGCGTGGATATGACAGGGGCCAATCAAATTTAATGTAAGGGTATTTATGCTTACCTCTCCCTTAACTCCCTGCCCTATTGTGGTTTCTGTTTCAGTTCCCTTTAGCGCTTGTTGTGTTCAGTTGTGTTTTTCGTGCTTGACCTTGACTTTGATTCTGACTCCGTTTATCTCTCTATCCCTGTTTTGTCTTGTTTGCCGGCTTACTGACTACTGTGTACCAGACCTCGGCTACTTTTTGTTCTCGCAGTCTCTTTGTTCCCTGACTCTGTCTTTTCTCTGCTATACGGCGAGTCCGGCCATTCTAAGGTCCAGTAAGTCGTATCTGCTCTATCTGTCGATTGTTGGACTAAATCTTGCGTGTAGGGGTAAACTACCGTGACAAAAACAAGTCGTTGAGGAGCCAACCCATAAGGAGGCCATACTAGATTTAGTGTTAACAAATGTAGATTTGGTATCAGATATTACTGTAGGTGAAAGTTTAGGATACAATGATCATCAGTCAGTGTGGTTTAATATAAAAACAGTGACTGAGTCACACCATACAAAAACAAAAGTTTTAGACTTTAAAAAAAACAGACTTTTCTAAAATTAGAATATGTGTAAAGGAGTCATTATCAGACTGGAGCAATTTGAATGGAGTCCAAGAGAAATGGGATTATTTAAAAGTTGCACTGCTGAAGGCAACAGAAAATTGCATTAGGCTTGTCAGTAAAAGCAAAAAATTGAAGAAGCCACTGTGGTACTCCGTAGATGTGGCCAAAATAGTAAAAATCTAAAAGTTAGCATTTAGTAATTATAAAAAAACTCAGAGTGAGGAAAACAGAATGCTCTATAAGATTAGGCAGAAAGAGGCTAAGCAAGTTATAAGAGCTTCTAAATCACACACAGAAGAGAAAATATCACAGGGGGATAAAACATTTTTTAGATACATAAATGAGAAAAGAAAAGTAAAACAAGGATTAGTTAGATTAAAAACAAAAGAAGGAAGGTATGTAGAAGAGGATAAAGGTCTAGCTGACTGCCTCAATTAATATTTTTGTTCAGTATTTACAGATGAAAATAAAGGAAAGGGGCCTCAGTTAGGAATAAGAGTTTACAGAGGAAGTGGTTCTATTTCAACTGTCAAAAGTAAAGACAAATAAGTCAATGGGACCTGATGGAATACACCCAAAGCTATTAAAAGAGCTTAGTGGTGTACTAGCAAAACCATTAACAGATTTATTTAACCAATCATTGTTAACAGGAGTAGTCCCAGAAGATTGGAAGTTAGCGAATGTTGTGCCCATTTACAAGAAAGGTAATAGGGAGGAGTCGGGCAACTATAGGCCAGTAAGCCTTACTTCAGTAGTGGGGAAAGTGATGGAAACCATGTTAAAGGATAGGATTGTTGAACATCTAAAAACACATGGATTTCAAGATCAGAGACAACATGGGTTTACTTCAGGGAGATCATGCCAAACTAATCTTATTGATTTTTTTGATTGGGTAACTAAAATTATAGATCAGGGTGGTGCAGTAGACATTGCTTACCTAGATTTCAGTAAGGCTTTTGACACTGTTGCACATAGAAGGCTTATCAATAAACTGCAATCTTTAAGTTTGGATTCCAATATTGTTGAATGGGTAAGGCAGTGGCTGAGTGACAGGCAACAGAGGGTTGTAGTCAATGGAGTATATTCGAAGCTTGGACTTGTCACCAGTGGGGTACCTCTGGGATCTGTACTTGGACCCATTCTCTTTAATATTTTTATTAGTGATATTGCAGAAGGTCTTGATGGTAAGGTATGTCTTTTTGCTGATGATACTAAGATATGTAACAGGGTTGATGTTCCAGGAGGGATAAGCCAAATGGCAAATTATTTAGGTAAACTAAAAAAATGGTCAGAGTTGTGGCAACTGACATTTAATGTGGATAAGTGCAAGATAATGCATCTTGGACATAAAATCCCAAGGACAAAGTACAGAATATTTGATAGAGTCCTAACCTCAACATATGAGGAAAGAGATTTAGGGGTGATTATTTCTGATGACCTAAAGGTAGGCAGACAATGTAATAGAGCAGCAGGAAATGCTAGCAGAATGCTTAGTTGTATAGGGATAGGTATTAGCAGTAGAAAGAGGGAAGTGCTCGTGCCATTGTACAGAACACTGGTGAGACCTCACTTGGAGTATTGTACGCAGTACTGGAGACCATATCTCCAGAAGGATATTCATTCTTAGAGAGAGTTCAGAGAAGGGCTACTAAACTGGTTCATGGATTGCAGGACAAAACTTACAAGGAAAGGTTAAAGGAACTTAACCTGTATAGCTTGGAGGAAAGACGAGACGGGGGGATATGATAGAAACATTTAAATACATAAAGGGAATCAACACAGTAAAGGAGGAGACTATATTTAAAAGAAGAAAAACTACTACAACAAGGGGACATAGTCTTAAATTAGAGGGGCAAAGGTTTAAAAATAATATCCGGAAGTATTACTTTAATGAGAGGGTAGTGGATGCATGGAATAGTCTTCTAGCTGAAGTGATAGAGTTTAACACAGTAAAGGAATGTAAGCATGCGTGGGATAGGCATAAGGCTGTCCTAACTATAAGATAAGGCCAGGGACTAATGAAAGTATTTTAAAAAAATTGGGCAGACTAGATGGGCCGAATGGTTCTTATCTGCCGTCACATTCTATGTTTCTATGTTTCTAAAAGTAGTTTGTGTCCCAACCTGACACGCATGCTATACACACGCATGGATTTGACGAGACAGATATGATGTCAACATACCCGGAAGCCAGACAGCTTTCCACTGTGGAATGCACGCTACTCATGAGGAATACAGGTGAACAGAGTTCTTTAATCAACATAGACATCTATATTTGGATACATTTGGTTACAAAAGAGCAGATAGATATCTCTGAGGAAGTCCAGAGGATGGAACGCATTGAATACAGACTATTCATCTCCTTGGGACTTTTGTATTTATTGTTTCTTGTTATTTTATTTTATATTTTGGCTACTATTTTATGTGAAACTCACCTCAACCCCTGAGGTCATACACAGCTCAGGTTCCTTGCTTTGATCCACTGGAATTGGAGATATGCCCAAATTACTGATTATATTGTAAGTGCAATTTTAATAATAAATCGTTTTATACATTCAATCTACACTATATTTCTCTCATGGTTATTTCATGCTCATGGAGACTTATATTCAACATTGGAGCACCTGCATCTACACATACTGCATTTGAGGTGTGATAAGCTGATACCAGTGGCATAGGTACGATCCATGGGGCCCTGGTGCAAAAGAAAAAGGGGCTTGCACAGAGGAGGTATGGGGCAGCACACATGAGTGGCAAGGTGCTCACTGTGGTGGGGGGGGCGGGGGGTGAAGGACTATACCAATATTGAGCAATAGTACATTTATTTGTTGTCCTCCCTCCCTTTGGCTTACCTTGGGGCAGAGAGAGGAGGCAATGATCCGGTCCCTGGGGGGACTTTACATGATGCAGAAAGTAGGCAGAATGTATTGCTGTGACCCTCGCTCTGTCACTTCTTGCTGGAGGCAATGCAGACGGGTTGCTGGGCGGAGGTGAGAGAGAACCGATTTCCTTGTCGGCCGCAGGCCCCTTCAGTGCCAAGCGAGAGGAGATGATTCAACTTCCTGCCTTAGTGCCACCCCCACCCTCTGGGTCCCCCCGTGCCCTCCTCCCAGACACAACATGCTCTGCCCCCAGATAAGAGCAGGCAGGCAGGCGGCAGCATTACAACGGGGCCCGGCCCCAGATTAATTGCAGCAATGTAACACCAGCCAGCTATCTGTCTGGATTCCAGGAAGAAGAAAGTGCTATCTTCTCATCACAGTAACAGCAGGGATCCACAGTGCGTCCGGGTCCCCTGGAGTGCCGGGCCCGGTCGCAACTGCAACCCCTGTGACCCCTGTATGTACGCCACTGGCTGATACACCTCCTTGCTGTTTTATTCTTGATTTCTGTTTCTTCTGTGAATGAGGGTTGTATTTTAATTTTGCAATTTTCACTTTAGAGGTGTCACATTGTTGTACGTCTTTAAATCCTACGCTTTATTTATTTATGTTTGCTGGTATTTAGGGGTACACCAGTTAGTAGGTTTTATTTTTCTTGCATATAGTGGTTATATTCTATATAGGATTCCAAATATGTAATCAACTGAGATTTTCTGCCACATACTCTGTAATGGAAGTAAAGGCTGTGCATACCTCCCTTTCTGACTACAAAATATATGTGAAGATTTTCATAGTATCTTTAGATCTTTGGTATTTTGTGTTTTTTTTTTTACTGATTTAATCCTTGTTTTAACATGAGGGAAGCATTGTTTTTTTTAAACTCCATTATTTTTATGTCATGTATTATTTATTATTAGGTGATATTCTTCTTTAAATACCATTTCACCAACCTTTATTCTTTCTGAAAGTTTCCGAGAGACACTGAGCTTCCTCTTGGATTCTCTCCTCTAGGCTTCTCTTCCCCATTCCGAAATTCCTCAAGGTCATGAGAGAGAACCGACGTATTGTTTTCCATGTTTCCCCGTTTGTCACAATGATACCTAAAAAAAACCATGAAAAATATCTACACACATCCAGATCCTCTACTTAATCTTGAATAAGGCTGCATATATAAAGAAAGTTTACATCTCACAAAGAGTTAATTCATACTAAAATTATATCCCCATGTTACACATTTACAATCTAGAAATGAGAAGTTCTAGAACCGACAAAAAATGTTTCACATAATCCAAAGATTCCCTATATGGTTTTAGTCTTGTATGTATTTTATTCATTTATAGCAGTTTGTGTTCCTCCGAATATTGTCACTGCTTCACTTTGGATTTGTTCCTAACCATGTTTTTTTTTATTTGTCATTTTCAAAAGCCAGTAATAGGACATTGAAGGCCATAAAGAATAAGTTACTCGAAGGGAACATATGAAGCAAAATATTCAGCATGAAGTATGTTTTACATCCTTTCTGAATATTAATAAAACCAGCAATTTGTACATACTTAGTGATGAAGTTTGAAAAATACGTTTATATTCAGCCTTTGGAGCCTGAATGCTGCTTATGTACCATCTTGTCTGACCATCTTCACCGGCATGTATTTTTATTTTGTTTAACACTCTGTAGTGCCCTGCGCTGAAGAGTAACATGTCTGTCCCATGTTTTCCTGAACCTCAATATTTATGACCAAGAATCTCATCCTCGTGTTTATTAGCAATTCTACTTATCATGTCATCAATTATTTGTAGGCGTCTTGTACCATACTGCACATAATGTCTTTTATTGTGAGTTACTTTGATAACCAGTAATAATAATCTATTGATCTTGAGGTATGCCGTGTTTCAAATATCTAACTTCTGACCTACTGTCCTCTAAATGATTCCTAAAATCCTATCCTATATTTTCCTAGTATTTGTGTTACCTGGAGTTTTTTTGGGAAGTGGCCAGATATCTTTTAATCCGTGTATTTACTTTATGACAGTAATTACGTAAGTTATATTCTGATTCTTACCGCTTCCTCTAAACAGTCTTTCAATCAGTTCCATTTTCCCCCGGTCGTAAAAGGAATCGCCATTGTCTTGCAGAGCTTCTTTCACTGTGTCGCACCCAATGAGTACGACAGAATGTTGGCCAAGAAGATGAATCGAGTACACAGGTCCATATGTCTCGCTCAGCTGCAGAGAGTAATAATCACGTGAACTATATTAAAGTTATCCAACCTCAGACTTGCAAGCAACACAGAGCTCTTTTAAGTGTTTCATTGCCTTATGCAACAGGTAGCCTTCTGGGGGATCATCATTTTATTATATTTTACACATCCTGTTATTTCTGTTTTGTGTGTTTTTTTTCCCCTTTATTTTTGATTTATTACCACTAATTTGTAACTACAACCTGTGTTAGCCATACTTTGCATATCCTTGGCAGATTGCATATTTTATCACCTTTACGTCTTGCCCAAACTGGCATGGAACAAGGAGACCTTGATTTTGCCAAAGCCTTTGACACAGTAGACCCAAGCATTCAATACACCAGTATTGGTGATCGTCCACTAACCTGGTTTCAGTCGTATGTATCACATCAATCGCAATATGTGTCCATTTCTGAAAGAGCCTCCCTTCCTCTCCCGGTCATGTGTGGTGTTCCCCAAGGCTCCATATTCGGCCCCCTACTATTCACATTATTCATAAATGTATAATGTCTGCATAACCTTTATACAAAGCTAAGTGCCCTGTACAGAAATAAATTCTTCCTAAGCCCCATGGTAAGTAGGCAGATTGTTGTTGTAAAACACATTCTCCCACTTTGTGCTACAATGCATTATTATTAATTATTATTATTGCCATTTATATAGCGCCAACAGATTCCATAGCGCTTTACAATATTATGAGAGGGGGGATTTAACTATAAATAGGACAATTACAAAAAACCATAGGTTGTAGAGGACCCTGCTCAAATGAGCTTACATTCTATAGGAAGTGGGGTGTAAAACACATTAGGCCAGAAAATATCAATCAAATAGGGTGGGAGTAAAGCAGAGCTGGAGGAGAGAGTAGAGTGCTGCCCTTTATGGGTCAAGTCCATGTGAGTGTGAATACTACACTATCAGGATCAGGATTATACACCAACGAAAGAATTACAGGCGAGTTCAAAGTAAACTTTACATTCAAGTTTAAAATAGACAGCCTGGAAATAATGATTTCATTCAGTAAATGGCCATACGTTTTAAATTAACTTTGAATTCACCAAGAATTCTCACGTTAGTGAATAGCGCTGAATATTGCATATCTTTCATGTGGACTATTTCTCTGTATTTTTCAGCATTGATAAGCATAATTGTATGATAAACATATTCAGGAGCTGTTAGTATTTTATTTTACATTTTTGCTTTGAATGAATATTTTGGTTTTATCACCTTATCTGCTAAAGGCATTGTGCCCCCAGCGATACGGTTTTGGATTGTCCCCAGTAAATGGAGCGTGAATCTAATCAGTTCCCTAATCAGCCAAGAACGTGTTAGTTTGAGGCATATTCACTCCGGGGCCGAGCTTCATTCAGTAATTCCGAGAATATCATGATCATTATCATTACTCCTCTTTGCACCTTCTGCCTGTCTGTCTGTCTGTCTGTGAGGGCTGTGATGTGTTCGTATCAGTCCATGGAGAAATATGAGGAAAAGACAATTTATTCAAACGTTGTCACTGTGTGTTTACAGCCAAGACAATGTATCTTCGTCTGATTTATTTCCTCCTGCTTATCTGTGAGCTGGAACTTTTTCTGTGCGTTACAAATCATTATGTAGTAAGAATTGTCTGTGCTCACTGTTTAATGGTCTTTACAAAAGCCATGTCAAATCGGATTGAGAAACGTTACCATTCCCACTAAAACAATCCAGAAGGGGCATGTTTATATCAGTTTGTCCTTTTGGACAAATTGTGTCTAAATTCTCATATCCAACTCTGTTGATAAATGATTCCCTTGTGTTAGTCTCTAGTATTACCTCCTCTGGTGGAAGATTATTCCCTGCATCAACAACTCTTTCATTAAAAATATCGCTAAGTTTCCCTCTGTTTTATTTTAGATATAACCCCTAGTTCCAGGTATCCTCTCTTTCAACATATTCTTCTTCTGAGATGTTTGTGTCTATCATGAATTCAATGCTCACCTTAACCAAGGACTGGGGTAATTCTGAAGGGTTCATCTGAAGCATATTTCCCAGCAGGGGCAGTGGAGAAGGTCCCGGGGGCAGATTCTCATACTTCTTGTTGTCCCTCTGTGTGATGAGGTAAATCAGGAGAGTGACACAGGAGACAAGAAGAACTGTACCTACAAGGCCCAGTTCCATCGTGACAATGATAAATGTCTCCCCTCTTCATGCTTCTGAAAGAGGTTGTCCTTTCTAGATCGACCCATGCATTCCAGGAAAAATACAGTTTTTTGTTTTTTTTTGTCTGGTATCAAGTTAAATCTCCCCCTTCTGGTGATTTAGAGAAATAACTCAAACAGAATAACATTACTTTTTTTTTATTTAGTAAAAGGATCCCAAAAGAGCAGAATATTCTCATCTACCGACACAGCCCTATTTAATATTGTTGGGTGAGCTTTTCAAATTATTTAATATTTTTGCATAAACTTTTAACATGATTTAATATGTGAAAATCATTTTAATTAGCAATATGTTTATATTTGTTCTACTTTGAAATACTTTATTTCAAAGAGGGACACAAGTGGGGCGCTTCAAAGGAGACATTGAGAAAGACTTAGCGTTAAAACGCTTCCGATTCTGCATCATTTTAATCAAGAAGGTTTTTATTATTTACTCTTTATGTTTTATTCAATACGTTTTTGATACTTTCATCCTCTGCTGCTGCTTTATCTGTACTTCCGTGATCCATCTGTCACCAGCGGTCCTTGGATATCCAGCTTCAGCCTGTATAGGCACCCTTGGGCTCATTATACAGAGCCTGGCACAGCTCTAGAATTCGGGAGTTTAACCATTTATCATTCGATACTCATTTATGTTTGTAGGGTACACACTATGTTTTATGTTACTGTTTTGTAGACATTGTGAAGACCTCCATGCCATTTATAAATACATATAAGTATTCATTTATTTATTATACATTTGCATTCCTTTGGAAGGGTACACTTCCACTCTGTGTTTCTATACACTTTGTTGCTGGTGTTGTGGTTATTCTTATAATAATGATGCCAACATGTTAGAGATTGTATTATTATTATTTTTCTTTTTGAGATTATGTTTCCCCCACGTACCCTTTTTTTCTTTCTGTAACCCAAATCTAAAACTTCTCAATAGCATTTGAAAAGAAGAAAATAAGTGGATTTTTATATTGAATTAATTTGTATAGCTCACAAATACATATTTGTTAAATATAGGGATCAGTAAACATAACATTAAGATCCTTGTAAACATTACACATTGTATAGCTCTTAAATCCCAACATTTCAAATGGACAGGGGGACACTTTACTTTTAGGGTTTAAGTGTAGCCGGGCACGGCTGTTCTGAGATCTTATAGGTGGCTAACTGATAACAATCTATAGAACTAAAATGTAATTTATAACAATGTATCTTATTTACACAGAATTGTTTCTAAACACATTTATGGTATGTGAAGACACATTACTGGGAGTATTATTGCTGTGGAGCTCTGTTATACACTCAGACACATTACTGGGAGTATTATTGCTGTGGAGCTCTGTTACACACTCAGACACATTACTGGGAGTATTATTGCTGTGGAGCTCTGTTATACACTCAGACACATTACTGGGAGTATTATTGCTGTGGAGCTCTGTTATACACTCAGACATTACTGGGAGTATTATTGCTGTGGAGCTCTGTTATACACTCAGACACATTACTGGGAGTATTATTGCTGTGGAGCTCTGTTATACACTCAGACACATTACTGGGAGTATTATTGCTGTGGAGCTCTGTTATACACTCAGACACATTACTGGGAGTATTATTGCTGTGGAGCTCTGTTATACACTCAGACACATTACTGGGAGTATTATTGCTGTGAGCTCTGTTATACACTCAGACACATTACTGGGAGTATTATTGCTGTGGAGCTCTGTTATACACTCAGACACATTACTGGGAGTATTATTGCTGTGGAGCTCTGTTATACACTCAGACACATTACTGGGAGTATTATTGCTGTGGAGCTCTGTTATACACTCAGACACATTACTGGGAGTATTATTGCTGTGGAGCTCTGTTATACACTCAGACACATTACTGGGAGTATTATTGCTGTGGAGCTCTGTTATACACTCAGACACTTACTGGGAGTATTATTGCTGTGGAGCTCTGTTATACACTCAGACACATTACTGGGAGTATTATTGCTGGGGAATTCTGTTATACACAGACACATTACTGGGAGTATTATTGCTTGTGGAGCTCTGTTATACACTCAGACACATTACTGGAAGTATTATTGCTGTGGAGCTCTGTTATACACTCAGACACATTACTGGGAGTATTATTGCTGTGGAGCTCTGTTATACACTCACACATTACTGGGAGTATTATTGCTGTGGAGCTCTGTTATACACTCAGACACATTACTGGGAGTATTATTGCTGTGGAGCTCTGTTATACACTCAGACACATTACTGGGAGTATTATTGCTGTGGAGCTCTGTTATACACTCAGACACATTACTGGAAGTATTATTACTGTGGAGCTCTGTTATACACTCAGACACATTACTGGGAGTATTATTGCTGTGGAGCCCTGTTATACACTCAGACACATTACTGGGAGTATTATTGCTGTGGAGCTCTGTTATACACTCAGACACATTGCTGGGAGTATTATTGCTGTGGAGCTCTCTTTTACACACAGACACATTACTGGGAGTATGATTGCTGTGGAGCTCTGTTATACACTCAGACACATTACTGGGAGTATTATTGCTGTGGAGCTCTGTTATACACTCAGACACATTACTGGGAGTATTATTGCTGTGGAGCTGTGTTATACACTCAGACACATTACTGGGAATATTATTGCTGTGGAATCTGTTATACACAGACACATTACTGGGAGTATTATTGCTGTGGAGCTTCTGTTATACACTAAGACACATTACTGGGAGTATTATTGCTGTGGAGCTCTGTTATACACTCAGACACATTACTGGGAGTATTATTGCTGTGGAGCTCTGTTATACACTCAGACACATTACTGGGAGTATTATTGCTGTGGAGCTCTGTTATACACTCAGACACATTACTGGGAGTATTATTGCTGTGGAGCTCTGTTATACACTCAGACACATTACTGGGAGTATTATTGCTGTGGAGCTATGTTATACACTGACACATTACTGGGATTATTATTACTGTGGAGCTCTGTTATACACTCAGACACATTACTGGGAGTATTATTGCTGTGGAGCTCTGTTATACACTCAGACACATTACTGGGAGTATTATTGCTGTGGAGCTCTGTTATACACTCAGACACATTACTGGGAGTATTATTGCTGTGGAGCTCTGTTATACACTCAGACACATTACTAGGAGTATTATTGCTGTGGAGCTCTGTTATACACTCAGACACATTACTGGAAGTATTATTACTGTGGAGCTCTGTTATACACTCAGACACATTACTGGGAGTATTATTGCTGTGAAGCTCTGTTATACATTCAGGCACATTACTGGGAGTATTATTGCTGTGGAGCTCTGTTATACACTCAGACACATTACTGGGAGTATTATTGCTGTGAAGCTCTGTTATACACTCAGAGACATTACTGGGAGTATTATTGCTGTGGAGCTCTGTTATACACTCAGACACATTACTGGGAGTATTATTGCTGTGGAGCTCTGTTATACACTCAGACACATTACTGGGAGTATTATTGCTGTGGAGCTCTGTTATACACTCAGACACATTACTGAGAGTATTATTGCTGTGGAGCTCTGTTATACACTCAGACACATTACTGGGAGTATTATTGCTGTGGAGCTCTGTTATACACTCAGACACATTACTGGGGGTAGTATTGCTGTGGAGCTCTGTTATACACTCAGACACATTACTGGGAGTAGTATTGCTGTGGAGCTCTGTTATACACTCAGACACATTACTGGGAGTATTATTGCTGTGGAGCTCTGTTGTACACTCAGACACATTACTGGGAGTATTATTGCTGTGGAGCTCTGTTATACACTCAGACACATTACTGGGAGTATTATTGCTGTGGAGCTCTGTTATACACTCAGACACATTACTGGGAGTATTATTGCTGTGGGGCTCTGTTATACACTCAGATACATTACTGGGAGTATGATTGCTGTGGAACTCTGTTATACACTCAGACACATTACTGGGAGTATTATTGCTGTGGAGCTCTGTTATACACTCAGACACATTACTGGGAATATTATTGCTGTGGAATTCTGTTATACACAGACACATTACTGGGAGTATTATTGCTGTGGAATTATGTTATACACTAAGACACATTACTGGGAGTATTATTGCTGTGGAGCTCTGTTATACACTCAGACACATTACTGGGAGTATTATTGCTGTGGAATTCTATTATACACAGACACATTACTGGGAGTATTATTGCTGTGGAATTCTGTTATACACTAAGACACATTACTGGGAGTATTATTGCTGTGGACCTCTGTTATATACTTAGACACATTACTGGGAGTATTATTGCTGTGGAGCTCTGTTATACACTCAGACACATTACTGGGAGTATTATTACTGTGGAGCTCTGTTATACACCCAGACACATTACTGGGGGTATTATTGCTGTGGAGCTCTGTTATACACTCAGACTCATTACTGGGAGTATTATTGCTGTGGGGCTCTGTTATACAATCAGACACATTACTGGGAGTATTATTACACTCTGTTATACACTCAGACACATTACTGGGAGTATTATTGCTGTGAGCTCTGTTATACACTCAGACACATTACTGGGAGTATTATTGCTGTGGGGCTCTGTTATACACAGACATATTACTGGGAGTATTATTGCTGTGGAGCTCTGTTATACACTCAGACACATTACTGGGAGTATTATTGCTGTGGAGCTCTGTTATACACTCAGACACATTACTGGGAGTATTATTGCTGTGGAGCTCTGTTATACACTCAGACACATTACTGGGAGTATTATTGCTGTGGAGCTCTGTTATACACTCAGACACATTACTGGGAGTATTATTGCTGTGGAAGCTCTGTTATACACTCAGAGACATTACTGGGAGTATTATTGCTGTGGAGCTCTGTTATACACTCAGACACATTACTGGGAGTTATTGCTGTGGAGCTCTG